GTTGGCACCAGATTGTTAACTATTTTCTGTGTAGCATTTTGATGAGAAAGAATTATTTGGAGGTGCTTGAATCAAGTTAGGTATGGCCTTGGTGAATGAGCTTGTTTCTGAGGACTTCTCTCAGAAGTTGTGATTCTATAGATTGTGTTAGCTACTTTTCTCCTATTGTAAGTGAGTGATAGTGAGAGTGTCTACACAATTAAAAGCTTAAGAAAGACTATGTCAATGTGTGGAAATGTGCTTTCATAGCAATAGATGTGTCCTAGTAACCTTCCCAGGCAGAACTTTTCTTCTCTGTAAACTGGATTAGACCTTGTGTCTCAGATATTTGTCTGGACCTCTTTCCTTTCAAGGGTTTTATCTATATCTCTATATCCTATTTGTACCAGCTCCATTCTTACCCTCAAGTTTAGGTAAATAAATTCTTAAGGTTTTGTTGCTGTAAAAAATGTAGGTAGGGGTGTGTGTGTGTGTGTGTGTGTGTGTGTGATTACTTTGGTCTGAAAATAAGAATTGTGCTTCCCATTTGATTCAGGGTTCCTTATTAATGGTATGTTTTATCCTCTCTATTGACATTTGTTTTCTTTCTGCCTTACCTGTTTTATCCCTTTGCAGTCTGATAATCAGTATTTGTCTTAATTGGGTTTCAGAAATTTCCTATTTAGACGGTGCTCTGGATTTCATGACCACATTATTTTCTTAGCTTTACTGTCCTTGTAAACTTTCTTTTTGCCATGTCACATCCTGCTGGCAGTCAGGTGAGGCTGTGGAGGTTCTCTTTGGTGACTGTCAGAAGAAAGTGACCCTTGGTGACACATGCTTGCTGCAGTTAACACAAAGCTGTGATCTACTTCCTAGTTAACAAGTTTTTATATTTCTCCCCCTCTCCTTTTAGTCTTTTTGGGAAATCACCTAATTTTGTGAAAGATCAAACTATAGGGGCACAGTGGAAAAAGGAGGAAAAGCGGGGAAAAATTGAAATTGGGGACAAAGTAGGCAAAAAGATTAGTTTGAAGGCATTAGGCATACTCTAGTCTTGCTGATGCAGGGCCAAGACATAGGCAGAAAGCACAGAATCTCTTGTCCTCCTGGGTTTTAAGCAGCTGCAATAGGGGGACAAACTGCGACTTGTGTTTACAAGGCCCAAATCGGAAGAGAACACTTCCTTTCCTTTGCCATCTTGAAATGGAGAGTTCTGCAGCAGAAAATAAGGAGATGACATATTACATGCTTCGAAGGTAAGTTTTAGGGTGCCATATCTGGCCAATATAGACATTTAAAAACAGCAATGCCATTGAAAGCCAAGCCCTGGAATTTACAAGAAATTTGATGATTTTTTGGGCTATCTATAAGAAGCTGTCTTTTATAGAAAATGACTAAAAAGTCAAACTTGCTCCAGATTTTCTAACCTTTATTTTACATTCAGAATTTGAGTCAAAGATACCTAAATCTCTGTGCAATATTGTAGCTGCATTGAGAACAAGCGTCCCTGTGCAGATTTTGTAGTGCTATTGTTTCCTTAAGGAATCCCAGTCTGTGCCAGATTTGCTCACTGCATTTGACTTTTTTCCCCAAAGAGTGAAATCTGTTCAACAGTTGTGAAGAAAGGGCGATACCAATTTTGAGAGGTGTGTAGAATTCTGTTGTGGGTAGTTTTTGCGAAAAGCTTTTTTAGAATGTGTATCTGGGTACAAAAAAGGTGTCTGCTGCCATTGCCCTGGTGTCTGACAGTGGGCAACCTCACTGGAATTTTGAGGGATCTTTTTCCTGTTGTTAGAATCAGGCTGAGGAGGAAGTGAGCCAAGCACCTCTCCAGCAGAGGCTCGACATAAAGACCCAAATGATTTGCTGGGTAGCAGTCTTTAGGGGTTCCTCTATTATCTTCTTTGTTTACTTTTTTTTGCAATCTGGAGTTTTCATTTTGAAAAAAGAAATTACCTGAATACTAAACTGGGCTTGCCAAAAACAAAAGACAAAAACACCAAGGTGACAAAAATTGTTTTTAGAACACCCATTCTTTCCTTTTTCTTCTCACTTGAACTCTCCCACCCGTTGGGAGAAAACTCAAGCAAAAATAAGTAAAAGAAACTGATACAGATTATATATGATCAAAATGATTGTTTTTTATGTGAATATAAAAACACTGCCTTATGTATGGAAAAACATATACATATATACACATATGTAAAAAACAACCCACATGTACATACACATAAAGTTTTGTTTTTCTGAGTTTAGATCTAGCAGATAATCTGTATTTCTGAAAGAGGCAGACTTCTTGGAGCAGTCAGTCTGTCCTCCAGTTCTCCAATTTGAACAATCATCTATAAATTCATTCACTCTGTTTTGGAACTTCAGTTTTCACATCCCTTATCTCTCTTTTCTTGGTTTACTCTGATCTTTTGAAAGAAAATTCTTTAATCGCTTCCTGAGAAAAGGTAGGTGGGAGGTGAAGATTTTGAGACCTCGTCTTGCTGTGCATTTGATCCCTTGTTTTAAGAATGGTGCCTTATTTCTGAATTTGGCTATATGAAGGATTTGATCATTAAAAGTTAGACCTCCTTTTCGCTCCTTGTTTTTTTTTTTTTTTTTAATAGAGGCATGTTTTCTTTCTTTGTTTGTTTGTTTGTTTTGTTTATACATGCACTGGGTACAGTCAGAAGCGCAGGAGGGTGAGAGAATTCACCAGAGCCAGAGCGGGGAGCAGAACAGGCAGAAGGACCGAAGTACACTGCTGAGGGGAGCAGCGGGCGGCAGGAGAGGTCTGCACGCCATGTGGGACCCTCCTCCGGTGGCCGGGAAGCAGCGGGGGATCGAACCGGCGGCACAGAGGCCGCAGGCAGCTTTGCAACCCAGCGCTCAACCGCTGTGCCACCAGGGAGTCCCCTCACCTCGTTGTTTTTAAGTGATCCTCAAATAAGTACTCCTTTGTTATCTCCAGACCACTGATTAAATCTATTAATCCTGTAACCCCCTTATTTTATCAAGAGACTGCTCCCCTCCTTGTGTGATATTCAGGTAGCTCCTTATTGATTCTGTTTATATTTTCTATATCTCTTCAATCCTTCCCTAAATAACTGTAAAGTGATCTCTGTGAAATTTGTATGTTTAACTTCAGGTGTATAGAATTATGTAATCATAATCCTTGGTTTATGACAGACTAATTAGTCCATATGTATTCACTATTTATTTGATTATTTATTTGATTGATTTATTTTTTTAAAATAATGTAAAGATAATTTGAGAGTCTACCACCTAAAAGGCAGGTCATTGGCTGTCATCTATACATCTGACCATGTGCTCTCTTCTCCCCCACCCGCTGCATTCCATTGCCCAGATGACATTTTCCTTTATCGTATGTTCATTGTTTTTTCGTTTCCCTGTTTACATAATTCTGTTATAATTATACGTTTCTTTTAAAAGTGTGTATATTTTAGTTGTTTCTGACCTATGATTGATACATATTGATTATATAAAGGATCTTATTTATACCCACCTCATTTAATCCTCAAAAAGTCCTTTCAGAGGGTCTATCGGTCATGATCTAGTCAGAGAAAGAGAACCTGTATTAGGCAATATAAACAGGACATTTACCAGTGAGAACTGGTCACTTGATTATTAGATGAATAAAAGGACCAAAAAAAAGGGTGTTTTTATGTGAATTTAATACTAACCACAGGAAGCAGCCAGCACCTATAGGGCTGCGGGAACAAAAAGGAAGAAGCAGTGTTACCAGAATCTAGGAGCTCTGGCCATTACCCCTGGGGGCTGGTGCTAAGACCTCCTGGACTAAGCTTTGAATAGCTAGCTCCCAGATCCTGAGGCCTAGGCCTGGCCAATGGAGTGAGTGACAGGGTAGGCAACATAGTCTAGAGACAAGTCTTTAGAGACAAGTGAGCATGACTGCCACAGAGCCAAAACCTGCTTGCATCAAAGCTCTTCCTAGGAACTTCGAAAGATGTCACAGGCTGGAATTTAACTCTGTTACTGTGGAATAATGCTGATTAGAGCTGATAAACAAGAGGAAAGTCCTTTTTCTTATCCTTCTGCCTTACTTGCCATTGATAGAACTGGACAAAAATATGCAGTCTTAACACTATTGTTACAAAGCAGAGCATGTAAAGGTGGGCTTGAACTGTGTGTAAGATGGGCATGGGGGTGGGTGGTGGTAAATAGCTAGAACACTGAATGCTATGCATATTTTACGAAGAGGAAACTGAAGCTAAGCTAAGTTAAATTATTTGCTAAAGATCGTTCTATTAAGTGAACAGATCTGGAATTTAAACTCAGGCCTACACTGTTATATTTCATCTGATTTAAAACATTGATTACTAGAGGCACCATTATTGTATATACCACTAAGACAAAAAAAAAAAACAACCTGCCATTTATGTAAGGCATAGCATTAATTGTAAGATACCAGTTTTAAAGTTCTTAAAAAGTAAAAAAAGGGGCTTCTTAAAATTGATGAAATATGTCATATTCTGCAGACTTGTAAAGAATTTTGTTTTAGTGTTGTTGAATTTTGAAACACCTGTAGGTTACCCAGTTCAAACATTTTGTAGGTAGTTTAGAATGTGGACTTAGAGTTGATAAGAAAGATGGCAACTAGAGATTCAGAGGTGAAGGTCATCTGCATGCCAGAATTGTGATCTAGAAACAGTCTTGCTGTGTTTTTAAGCTTTGACAGTCTCTTTTTTGCAATACATGAGTTTATTTTTTATACTGTCTTGTTTCATGTTATCTTTGCCTCTCTTTGTAATGGCATCTATCTTCTGATAAATCTTAGTATTTTCTTTTATTCAGGAATTCTTTTCTCTTAAATTTCCACAAGCAAAGATCATATTCTTTTCTTTCTTGTATTTATATGTAGTCTTCACAAGCATGCACTTTGAAGTGCTATTATTATAAGTATGGCAGTGAAAAGCAGGTCTCCAGGGGAGAGAGATGGTGTGAAGAAATCCTATCTGTAGGCTTTCATGGTTTCTCTATTTTCATAGGTCCAGCATGTCTGGCATGCATCTAGTAAAGCAATGTCGAGATCGCAAGAAAATAGACTCACAGAGAGATTTCACTGTAGCTTCTCCAGCAGAATTTGTTACTCGTTTTGGAGGGAATAAAGTGATTGAGAAGGTAAGTTATAACTTGTAAATTATTTTTTCAAAAATACATGAGATTTAATGTCCAGTTTAAATGTCTAGATTGCTCAAAACTGATATTTACATTTTCAGAGACTTTGCCTCTTTGTGTGAAATTATCCTTTCTGTCTCCCTAGCATCCTCTTGAGTAATTTCACTATTTTCTCTAATATGTATTTACCAGTGACAATTTAGACATGGCTAATTTAGAAGATGAAGCAGTGCTCACAAAGTTCTTTTTAAAAGTTCTTTTGGTTTTCCAGGGTAGGGTACACTGATCAGAGAGGGTGTGAGAAATTTATTAGCTCGTGAGTTGGTGGTGAAGAGATAAGAAGTCATAGTGTTGGATTTAGAGCTAAGAGAGTAGAGACAGCTTCAGAACAGCAGGCTTAAACAATTTGATACACTGTGACTTACTGGTTTCTACCAAGTATTTGAGATGTTTAGAGGGAGTATACCACCCGAAATACTTAAAAAGATTATAGGTGTTTTGAAATGTTATGAGTTATTCTGTCACTTTGATCTAAACTGTGTCAGAACAGAGGGTGACTTGCTTGAGATGGGTACTTATATTCCCAGTTCTACAAACATTGCTTCAGTGGGGTCCTATTAGTCTCCCAGCAAAGATAGATTATGTGTCTCAGCCTATGTATCCTCAGGAGCAGAATTCCAAGACAGGGAAGGAAATGAAAAGTTTGTTTACAAAGAAGTCTGAGGATCATTGATTCTTCCATTCTTTTTCTTGTGGTCATTCTAAGGCAGTTTCCATTATTATTTTTTTTAAATTTATTTATTTATGCATACAAGAACTGGGGTACAGGCCAGTGGTGCGGGGAGTGAGAGGATTCACCAGAGACAGAGTGGGGAGATGAATAGGTAGACTGACCGAAATACACTGCTGCGGGGTGCAGCAGGCAAGACAGGAGAGGTCTGCCATGTGGGTTGCTCCCTGGCCGGCCAGGGATCGAACTCGTGTTGTAGAGGCTGTGGATAGCTTCATAGTGCTGTGCTTAACCCCTTGCGCCACCAATGAGGCCCAGTTTCCACTATTTTAAGGTGTTTGAAGTTCAACATTTTGCAGAGAGAATGGGGTTGATGCCAGGATTATTATACATGTTCAGGGTTCTGTGCCTACAACAGAGAATAGTTGATAACATTACACTGTTCATTTCCCCCCTGTGTCTTATTTGAGAATACATCATCCCTCTGAAGTCTGTCTTCTTTTGTTTCCCTGTAGTAGATATGGTAGAATAACCCACAAACTTAGAGGATTTCAGTAATTGTGATTTTTTTTTCCTTCAAGAAATGAAGTTAAAGAGGAGTTAGTTTTAGCCGGTACATGGACATGTTAAAGTATTTGCTTTAGCAGACATTTAAAAACCCCCCTTGATCATCTTGACTGTCTAGTCCAGCAATACAAATTCCTGTTTGAGAATCTGGCATTTTCAGAGGAAAAAAAAAAATCGTCTCATCTCTTTTCCTCCATCATTGCCTTTCTTTTCTCCTTTTTCCCCAATTTCCACCTCCCAGGTTCTTATTGCCAACAATGGCATTGCTGCAGTGAAATGCATGCGGTCTATCCGTCGGTGGTCTTATGAGATGTTTCGAAATGAACGTGCAATTCGATTTGTTGTCATGGTGACACCTGAAGATCTTAAAGCCAATGCAGGTAAGTTATTATGCATCTCCCTCAAGCATAAAGCAGGAGTAGCATAGCCTTTAAGTAGGAGAATATTAACTTGGGGGGCTTCCCAAACCCCAGAATTTCCTGTGAAATCCTTTAAAAAGGATTTCTCTTTAATAAAGTATCACTATTAGGCATATAAAAGTTATTGTGTGTATTAAACCTCAACACAGATTTCTGTGCTCTAAGTATAAATAGGTAGAAATTTAACCCAAGCGTTAATTTGGATTTTCAGATGTACACCTTTTTACTGTTAAGTATTTACCACATGTAAATATTAAGTGTAAGTAGAAAATTCAGAAAGACATGCTGTTTCACTTATGAGCTACATTAAATTTTAGAGAAAGTTAGGGCTAAGATTCTTTTTTCCCTTCTTCTGAGGGAGAGGACTTTTACAACCCCAGTGGTTTTCATTCTGCAAGGTCTTCTGCTTATTCTCTCTGTTTAGTTGGTTCTCCATCTGCTGGCTGTAGATAAAGTCTATCGGTATAGCAGAGAGGTATGGCTAGTTTTGCTTCTTTTGTACTTTTTGTGTCATTAAGGTATAATTTCTAAAGAAGAGAATGTACAGATAACATGGCTTCATTCTTTAAAGAGCTCTCTTTTAAAACCCGTTTCAGTCTATATACATCTGTCTTGAAACAATGATGTTAATAAGACTGTTCCTAAAGACTTTGGGTCATTATGTCATCTTTTTAGAAGAAGAGAAGGCACCAATTTATTGGAAAACAGATGTGATTCTGTAAAATCATTCAGCTTGACCCTTTAACATCTCTCAGCCATGGTTTTTTTTTTTTTTTTTTTAATCTGTGAAAGGAAGATCAAAAGGATAGAAGGATAGTCATAAAGATAAGATTTTTCTATAACAATGTAAACCACCTTGCATGATTTCTTCCCCAGCTCCCTTCCATTTATACGTAGTGCTCTTAACTCATTTAGTCATTCACTCAGTGAACATGTGGACCAACAGGTGATCTTGTCTCAGAAACAATTTCAATATAATGAGGTAAATTTTTTAGTAAACATACGCAGAGGATTCTGTGAGCACATAGAGTTAAGAGAAAGCTTTCTGAAAGAACTTATGCTTCGACAAGAAGGAGTAAAAGTTAATAGAGCATTTATTTAGAGGAAAGAGAAGGGTATTCCATGGCAGAAATTGGTAAGATTTGGTGATTGTGAGAATTAAATCATTAATTTTCAGTTGAGTAGGCAGGTGATAATACCTTCAACAGGGCAAAATAATAGATAACATAGCAAGAGCTGTGATTTTTATGGGGTGGGGGTGCAGATTAGGCCTCAAGTACTTATGGTACAAGAAGATCCTATAAATGCTACAAAACTTTTAATATGTTCTTCCAGAACTTAAAATAACGAGAGCTGAAGATTAAGAGTCTTTATTAACAGCACATATGTGGTAATTAACATTACCCCCTGAAAGAACAGATAGAAAATTAAGAAGACCACAGATGAACTTGTATAAAAGAATAACATTTAGGGGTAGATTGAGGAAAATAGTTCCATAAACAAGAACTGAGAAGAAATCATTAGAGAGATGGAAGAAAAAGAAAAGAGAATTTTATAGATGACTGGATCAAGAAGATGTGGTACATATACACAATGGAATATTACTCAGCAATCAAAAAAGATAAACACATGCAGTTTGCAGCAACATGGATAGAGCTAGAAGGGATCATGCTCAGTGAAATAAGTCAGAAAGAAAAAGAAAAATACTGGATGGTCTCACTCATAGCAGGAATTTAGAAAACCTAAATATGGGACCAGGAAGAAGACTAATACAAAGTGAAAATCAAAATCAACAAGCAACTATAGACCAGAGACACACTACTGGGCGGGGAGGGGTGGGGAGAGGAAGGATTAGGGTCAAAATAAGGCGGGGGTGCAATTGTATGGGGAATATAACCAAAATGAAAATGCATACATTGTGCAAAAATGAAAAATGATGTAAGAATTATATAAAATAAAATATTAAAAAAAATCCATTAAAATAAAAAAAGAAGAGAATTTTAAAAGAGTTAAATGTGTCAAGGATTTAATAACATAGGAATGGAAACCTGTCCAGCAATAAGGAAATCATTGGTAGCCTTTGCAAGAATAATTAAACAGGAACAAAATGAGTCTGCAGATATTAAGGATCATGAATGGAAAGTGATGTGGAGATAGCCAATGTGAGTAAGTTCTTAAAGTATTTTGGATAAGGGAAGAAAAAAAGACAATAACTAAAAGAGCAATTCAGTCAACAAACTATTTTTCACAATGAAAGAGACTTGGACAGGAAGGGAATGTGTAAAGTCTGAGAGAAAGTAGACAAGAGGAGAGTTGATGTACACACGAGGCCTATGGCAGAAGGAACTACATGGGATTAGGAGTACAGGTGGGCAAGAATATGCCTGTATTTGGCCAGGACATTCTAATTCTCAGTATTCATTCTGAGGAACAACAATCACTAATGGGGCAAATATATTCATATAAGGGTATTCACTCTAGTATTATTTAAAATAGTGAGAAACTGGGAGTAATGTAAGTGTCCAACATTAGTGGGTTAGTTAAGTAAAATGTGGTATGCCAATTTTATGAAGTAGCCTGCAGTGGTTAAAAATAAATATGGAATAACATTTATTAGTATGAGAATACATTCTGATTTGTGGGTTTTCTTTTTCTTTTTCTTTGGGAATTAATTATCTATTATCATATAACAGTATTCCCATAAACTTAGCAACTTAAAATAAAAGACATTTATCTCAGTTTCTGTAGGTAAGGGCACAGCTTTGCCTGGGCTTTTGCTTCAGGCCATCACAAGACAGCTATCAGTTGTCACCTCAGCTGCAATCTCCTCTGACTAGGGATGCATCTGCTTTCAAGCCCACGTGGTTGTGGCAATGTTCAGTTTTTTTTGTGGACTGTCAGATTGAGGGCCTGAGGATTTAGCTGATTGTTGGCTGGAAACTACTGTTAACAAATTATCATAGGGGCCATTCAAAAATAACCACCTGCTGCCTCAGACAGCAAGTGAGAGTCTCTTAGTATGATCAGTTAAGTCCTTATGTAATGTTATCGTGGAAGTGAAATCTCCATATCTTTGCAATGTTCTTTTGACTTGAAGCAAGTCATAGATCCTGCCCACACTCAAGAATGGGAATTGTTTAATATATGAATACCTGAAGACTGGAGTCATGAGGATAGACAGAATAGTGTCTGTCACAACTGCTAAGAAAAAAGTTGGCTAAAAGGAGATTGATAGCATGATGTAATAATAGGGAAAAAAGCATATAGTCAGGGGGGGAAAAAGGCTTTGCAACATAAACCAAAGCAGCGATACTAGTTATCTCTAGGGATGGGATTTTGGGGTATTTTCATTTCTATTTGTGTTTCTGCTTTCCCCAACTTTTAAAACATAGTCTATACAATTTTACAATTTCTTTAAAAGTTATTTAAAAATTAGAATGCTAGAAAGTGTTACAGTAGCCGTGGTACTGAATTAAGGAATTGGTATTATTGATGACTTCTCTTTTCTCACCTTTTCTAACCTTTCTATTCAGTTATTTTAAATAGCATTGTGAGTATAATTTATATGCTATAAAGCAACTCTTTAAAAGCGTTCCATTCCAGTTTTAGTAAATGTATACCCTCGTGCAGTTATTACTGTAATCCAGTTTAAAACACAAATTATTTTTACAATTAAAAACGTTATGGAAAAGGAGCTCTAGATAGGAGAGTTAACTTGAAAGAGAGGCTTCATACTCTGCCACTAGAGGGGAACAGGCAAAATTAAGGTTAAAAGAAACTGCGAACAGCGATAGGAATAATGACAATATTAGATATTATAGTAAGTTGACCAGTTTCATATTTTTATTTTGTAATATTGATGGGAAAGTTGGAGAGGTGGATGATTAGTGAAATCCATGTAAGGAATTGAGTGTTCTCTTCTCAGGGGAGTTTTTTGATGTATTTATACAAGCACTGGGTACAGTCAGAAGAGCGGGAGGGTGAGAGAATTCACCAGAGCCAGAGCGGGGAACAAAACAGGCAGACTAACGAAATACACTGCTGAGGGAAGCAGCAGGCATGGCAGGAGAGGTCTGCGCACCATGTGGGACCCTCGCCGGCAGCCGGGGATCGAACCAGCGCTGCAGAGGCTGCGGGCAGCTTTGCAGCCCAGCGCTCAACCGCTGCGCCACCAGGGGAGGCCCTCAGGGGAGTCTTTAAATTTTCTTTTGAATACACTATAGAATAGTGAGTCTGGTGGTAATTATGGGCTGTGGGAACTACTCCTTTCTTCAGTATCTACACTAATGATAATAGAAGATTTATTGGTAGAACTGAACTGCGGTTGGTTGGTGGTGGCAATACCTTTGTAGACTGTGTGTGTGTGTGTGTGTGTGTGTGTGTGTGTGTGTGTGTGTGCATGTGCAGATAAGAGAAGGGAGAAGCAAAAGGGCCACAGGACTATAGAAAAAAACAAAACTACAAAGAAATTTAGATTTGACTACATAAAAATTTATTTAGCAAATTAAAAAATGTTAAAGACAAACGATAATCTGTAAAAACATATTAACTAAGAGTTTCTACCTATAACAGGAGAAAGACACCCTTTGGTAGGAAATGAACAGGCATGAAACATGTCCATGAAAATAGAATTATAAAGGGCAATAAACATATGAAAAGAGATTCAGTACCAAAGATAATCTAAGAAATGCAAACCAAAGCAATTATAGATTAGGATTTTTAATTATTATTAAATTATTAATGACTTAAATATTCAGCAATAAGTTAAGTGAATTGTGAACTATAGAAACACTACATATTGAGTATATAGGTTTTAAATATATATATACACATACATAAACAGACACAAACAGTAAATATGTATTAAAAAGATCTCTGTCATAATAAATAGGAAGATATCCACAATATATTGTGAAATTGGTTAACAATTTATAGTTTCTAGTACATAAGGCATGAACTTTCTCCAAATGGTGGGGTAATGGGTGTTATTGACTTAAAAAAAATAGCATTATTACATTAGATATTTTATCTAATTTTTAAAAATAACATCTTTCCCCTCTTATAAATGAAAAGAAAAATAAATATTTTTGTTTTGAACAAATTGTAGGGCCTTATAACTGTACTTTGAATAGAATTTTTTAGGACTTAAAATCTTTTAAATTAAGAATAAGATAGAAAAGGTATGTTAATAAATATGAAGTAGATGGATTTTGAACAAGTTATTTAACTGCTCCAAACCATAATTTCCTGTAAAATGGGTACTAATAATACCTATCATGTATAGTACTGTTAAGAATTAAATGAGATAATAGGTAAAAAGTGCTTAATAAAATCCTTGCACATTGTAACTGTTCTGCTACAAGTTGCCAGTAGAAGTAGAGAGAAATCAGGTAACAAATTTGAAACTGTATACTAAGCAAAAAAAGGCCAGGGAAAGAAGTAGTCTTTTAAAAGTCTCTTTCAAAAACTTACTATCTCCAACATTCCTGATAAACCCTTTTTAAATATATAGCTAGTCTATAAACCTTCCAGACTCTACTACCCTCTTTCCTCTTTCCGTCAGCTCTATAGCAGGAAAAGGGCTTTCTTGAGTGCAGTGCAAGTTTAAAGATAAAGGGTATCAGGATTAGAACTTTTTCTCAGAATAGAATACATAGACCTCTAAAGTGATAAGCACATCATCCTTTATATAGGAATCATGAGTACCCTTCAGAAAGGTCTAACAAAGTTAAATGTTTGAGAACCGCTTTTAGCATAAGGCTTCTTAAATATGAGATTAATGCAGAATTTGTGCCTATGATTTGACAAAATCAGAGCCATCAACTAAATGATCCTGGAAATTATCCCCATTAATGCAGTTTGTCCTGTGGCTGCCTGTGATAGTACCTTGTTTTGACATAATTTTGCTTTGCCAATATAGTACTGAAAATAAAGCGTATGTTCTCTATTAATTTGCTTGCATTTTTAGAATACATTAAGATGGCAGATCACTATGTGCCTGTACCTGGAGGACCAAACAACAACAACTATGCAAATGTGGAATTAATTCTTGATATAGCTAAAAGGATTCCGGTGCAAGTAAGAGAAGCTAATGTGTTATTTAAAACCAAATTCTGCCATTTCACCATTTGGCATAAGGAGATATCCAGGAAACAACTTTTAATTTTATATAAAGCATCTTTGTTGAAAATTGATAAATGCCTTTATATGGACTAAATGTTAGGGAAGGGGAAGATGGACAGAATGAATGAGTCAAAACAAATGTAATACAAGAGGAGGTTTGGAAGGATCTCTCAGATTATTTTATCAATGTCACCTTCAAACCATTCCAAGTAAATAAAAGATGCTTATTTCCTGTGGAATATTTTTAGCCCCAAATAAGGTGGTATAGAAGTTGGTTGTTTCTTTCCTATCTCATTGTGTTAGAAAGTTTAGAATAGGTAGCTTATAATCCAAAGAGAAAAAGCAAAAACAAAAACTTGAGACTTCTATGTTAGTATAACCATTAGGTGGGGTTGAAAGAAAGTCAAAGACATTGAACCTGTGAAAGATAACCTATATTTCTAGAGACCATTCTATAGAGTCTACTTGGAAGACTATGAATTGGGTTTTCTAAAGAGCAAGAAGCCTTGATGGATTTTAATACCAGTTTCAATTTGGTTTTGATCTCTTCAGAGGTCAAAATGGACTGTTTATTGCTGTTCCATAAGATGTTTGCCAAGAATCAAGCACCAAAATGGAATTAGCATAAGGCTGCTGTGAAGCCATTGTGCGTCGTAGGGTAGGGTCAGTCTTGGCAGAAAGTAATACGGTTCATTAGGTTATTTTAGTATGAATTTTAAGAATAACTCATACTGTGTTCCCTTGTAGGCAGTGTGGGCTGGATGGGGTCATGCTTCTGAGAATCCCAAGCTTCCAGAACTTCTTTTGAAAAATGGCATCGCCTTTATGGGTAAGTGTTTTTGGCATAAGTGTTCCTGCCTCTTTCTTTTTTTGCTTTTTGAAGACTTATTTATTTATGCATACAAGAGCTGGGGTACAGGCCAGAGGTGTGGGGGGGTGAGAGGATTCACCAGAGACAGAGCAGGGAACAGAATAGGCAGATTGACTGAAGTACACTGCTGAGAGGAGCAGCGGGCGAGTCAGAAGAGGGTTGTGCCATTGGGCTGTTCCCTGGCCGGTGGGGTGATCAAACTTGTGCTACAGAGGCTGCGGATAACTTCATCAGTTGCGTCTTAACCCCTTGTGCCACCAGGGAGGCCCTGTTCTTCTCTCTGTTTGTCTCTGTTGATGTTGCTCATACTACACTCTACATCCTGCTTTTCTTCTGTTGAGCATGCTCTGGGCTTTTTTTTTTTTTTTTTTTTTTTAATCAGCAGCTCTTACAGCTATTTTCTTTTTTCCATTTCTTACACCCTGCTTATCTCTTTGCATCTTTTTTTTTTTTTAAAGATTTATTTATGCGTACAAGAGCTGGGGTACAGGCCAGAGATGCGGGGGATGAGAGGATTCACCAGAGACAGAGTGGGGAACAGAACAGGCAGATTGACTGAAGTACACTGCTGAGTGGAGCAGTGGGTGAGTCAGGAGAGGTCTGCCTGCACCATGTGGGTTGCTCCCTGGCCGGCCAAGGATCGAACTCGTGCTACAGAGGCTGAGGGTTGCCTCATAGTGCGGTGCTTAACCCCTTGTGCCACCAGAGAGGCCCTCTCTTTGCATCTTGATTGCATTTTCTTTTCCTTGGTTCTTTTCCATGAAATATGGAGGAGTCTTTGATTCCAAAAATGCTTAAAACTTTGCCACCAGTCTTAAGAAAACAGGCAGAGAAAGGGCGTATTTTTGCATAGTAAAAATAACTTAATACTTAGGATATACCCTGGCAGTGTGCCCTTACATATGATTCAGCACCTTCATATTTAAGGATATAGATTGTGTTCTAATGAATGAGAGCTATTTCTTCTGTCTTTTCTTCCCTACTTATGGCAGAGAGAGAAATTGAGGTTATATGACTTAAAACATTTCTATCTCTGTCTCAGAGACCTTCCACAATGATGCTTATGCTTTGTAAACCCTATTAAAAACAGAACTCCCTTTTGAGTTCCTTTAAGACTAAAGAGAGTATAATACTTCATACTTGAAACCCCAAACTTTGTAGTCCTTATTTTAGGGTATTGGTTAAAAAAGAAAAAAAAAAAAACAACAGCAAAGTTGGATCATGAAGGACAACAAAATCAGAGTTAAATTGGTCAGGAATTTAATTCAGCATATATATACATATATTGAATTGTCACTGTGTATAAAAATCTTACTACATTAGGCTCTACAAATAGTACAAAAAGAAATCAAAACACAATAGTCTCCCTAGAGATTACTATCCTAAAGATAGAGGAGGACAAATATAAAAATAATTATATGGAAGAAAAAAATGTATGTGATAGAAATAAGGCCAAAATGTTAAAGTGAGAGTTCTTTTTTTTTTGTTTTTAGGTCCTCCAAGCCAGGCCATGTGGGCTTTGGGGGATAAGATTGCATCTTCTATAGTTGCTCAAACTGCAGGTATCCCAACTCTTCCCTGGAGTGGCAGTGGTAAGAAATTATTTCTTGTTTGTTTCTTAATGTGCAGAAAAGCTCAGTAGAGTATTTCAGGCTGTAGCTTAGAACTTAAGTTTATTTAAAATATATTGGGATGCTTGACAAGAAATAGAATCCAAGTTGATTAATAGCATCTTTTATCTCCCAGCTAATTGATGCACCTGTGGTTCTTACCATGCCTTAGGAATATCAATTTTCTACCAGCTAGTCAGATGATACATTGTGATTTAATGTACATTATGATTTAATATGTGTGGTACCTAATTTGGAGAAACTCTGGGAAAACTCATGTGGTTCTCTGGATTCAGATCAACATTGGGTGGGCTTGAATCTTCCTCACAGTTGGATGTTTTAGGCAGACTTAGGCCTTTGAACTTGCCTAGCAGGTGGCCTGGAAAATTAAATCCACCTATTGAAATGTTTGCCTGCCAGTGTTTTCTTGATATCAGCTCATAATCTATTGATGATTTGCTTTACTTGTTTAATACCTTCAATCTCTCATTTTTCTTAAGACTTCTATGGCAGAAAATGAGATCATTTAGCCACCTCTTCCAGGCATGCGGAAAAGATAAAATTTTTCTTAAAATGATTTATTCTTGTCAAGTCCTTTGAAGAGTGCCTTATGAATTATTATAGGTGATAACAGCATGCTTTCAATACTCAAGCACAGGGAACAGACACACACTAAAACCTCTTTCAACTGGGAGAGACCATTGTCTTGAGGCTGAACAGATTTGAACTTTTGTTACTCCTGTTCTCCAGGGGTATTGCAATATCCTCTCCAGACCTGCAGGGTCAAACAGTTTAAAATAAAATACTGGAATTTGTTCTTGTTTGAATGGAGAGTCTATAGCTTTCCCCTTGTGGCTGAGTACAGGGACATTCGGGAACATGGAATCATGACTCTACTGAGGCCAATAAAACCACCATTTCCATTTCCAAGGGCTCATAAAGATTGAATTATTTCCCAAACCTCTGGCCCTGGAGCAGGCCTCAACACACAAATCGAAGGTATTTTGCCTGCTTGAGTTGCTGTGAGAAGTCTGACATGGGTTTTTTTCCTTTCCTTTTTCTTTTTTTTGGTCTTGTATGCCCTTGCATTTTTATCAGTTTCTCTCGATGAGCTCTCCTGGCTGTTTCCAGTGTAAAAACCCAAGTTGCCAGGTCTGGCTGTAGCTAAATGCTGTTAACCCAAGGACTGTTAGAGTTTTATGGCATCCTTTTTCCTCTCACCTATCCTCAATTTTGGATAAATATGAACATTTTAAAGACGGTATAGCAGAAAATTGACAGGAAGAGATGCTCTTGTTACTGCTTTTAAATCACTGTTGTTTGTTTCAGGCCTTCGTGTAGACTGGCAGGAAAATGATTTTTCAAAACGCATTTTAAATGTTCCCCAGGAACTGTATGAAAAGGGTTACGTAAAGGACGTGGATGATGGACTGGAGGTAGGTCACTATAACTCTAGGGAATAATTAATTATAGTCACAAATACAGGAATTAGGAGTCTAGTTTGTGACATATACCTGTGATGGCATTTGGGTTGTAAGACAAGGTGTTGATAAAATAGAGTGAGGAAATTACTTCTATTTAACATAAATAATTAAATTGTTTTGAAGGAAACTGCTCATCTGGACAGACCATTTCTTGGCTGGTTTAATCAGTCCTTAAATAAAGTACTGAGAAGTCCTTTGCACTACTTATTAGTGTGTATGTTTGGAGGGTGGAACAATAGGTAGGCAGCAAACAGCAAACATTCTTCTGCTTAAGTTCAGAACCAAGAAGCCAAGCAGATAGAAATCAAAGTGTCAGATTTTTTGCAAGTAGAGATAATGGTGACAGTGGCTTAAGTGTGTAGCAACAGTCAGCTTTGTAAACTGAACATCAGAGTTAATCAGGCTCTCATAGATATTATTGTTGCTGAAAAACCATGAACTTCCCTCTGTGTAGACGGTGACTCTACTGTTCAGCTTATTAAATAAGAGCTGACAGAGAGCATATGTTCTATGCAGTCAGCTGATCCCAAAGGGAAAGAAAATAAACTAAGCATGCTCAGTTCCTCCTTCCAAACTGACCAATCACATAATTTGTTTTGCCCTTGTTTTTCCCTTGAATGAGAGGGCGCCAAGAGAGGCTGAAAGTTATTGTCCATCTATGTAGAAATATGAGCAAAAACAAAAGGAGATTCTTTCTCCAACATTATCTTTTCTTCATAGTTTTCTCTAGTTTGTTTACCTTTTACTTTTACTTTTTAACCAGTTGGAAATGTCAGCTATGCCTCCAGGTAGGTGATGAAAGAGGCTGTTGTAGAAAAACACACTGCTGGTGTTTGACCTGTATGTTATAAATTCAGGAGGAATTTGAATTTGAATGCTCAACTAATTTTGCTCTATTATTTGCATTTCAAGTTAAATATCATGTAATCTCCTTAATAAGAATTAACATATCATTGAATTGCAAATGCTATATTCTATTTGCTGTAATTTGCAAAAAGAATAGAAAACCTTTATCAGAAACTAGCTATCAACTGAAATTCCTATTCTTTCTGGTTATAAATATAAAATTTTCTAGTAGAAAATTTGGAAAGCCAGAATTGAAATGAAAATTAAAAAAACGCCCATAAACCTACTATCCAGGGTTAAATGCTGATAGCATATACATGTATTTTCTACTATCCTTTTTTCTTTTTAGAAGATTTATTTATGATTACAAGAACTGAGGTATAGGCCAGAGGTGTGAGAGGTGAGAATATTCACCAGAGACATAGTGGGGAACAGAACAGGCAGACAGATGGAAGTACACTGCTGAGGGGAGCAGTGGGCGAGTCAGGAGAGGTCTGCTGTGCCATATGGGTAGCTCACTGGCCAAGGATCGAACTCATGCTGCAGAGGCTGTGGACAGCTTCACAATGCTGCACTCAACCCCTTGCGCCACCAGGGAGGCCCTCTACTATTCTTTTTTGATTCCTAGTATTATTATCTTTATTAATAGATTCCCATAATTATAATAATTGTGATAATTGTAAAATTAGGTTCTTACTATATATATATCCTTAGTATTCTTGGTTGTTGTTTTCCTACTTAATATTATCTATAAACATTTTCCTCATAGCATTAAAATTCTTGTAAAATATTTTAAGTGGCTGAGAGCTTGCATATATGCCTAGAGTTTGCATATATACCTTCTTTCTTACTGACATCCTACTGCTATATGTTTTAAGTCTTCCACATTTGTGACTGTTTCTTTGATAATTCCTCACCTAGTAATTGAGTTCATCAATCTCTCTTTTTTTAATCTCTTTATAAACAGAATAGAGTTAAGGGAACTTTAAAAGAGAGCTATTAGCTTTATCTTTTACAAAAAGTTGAGAAAAAAATTTTTAGGTTCTTGAGAGTTCCAATTTGTTGAGTCTTTTATGTTGACAAAAGTTATACTGAGGCCATCCATTTATATTAAGTGAACTACTTATGTCTTTATTTTTTTAATAAAAATTATAGATAATACATGAATACCTATATACTGTAAGAAAGAAATTCTAATATATGCAGAAATGTATCAAGTAAAAAGTGAAAGTTTATATCCACTCATTTTTCTTTTATAAACTAACATTGATGTATTTTCTGTGCTTGTTATTTTGAACTTAATATATGAATGTATAAATAATATGTAAGGATATAGTTTGATTGTTTTTTACCAATCTGGAATTGTCTTAGATTGAACCACATGAAATTGCCAATAGGTTACCTTTTTTTTTTAACCTACAAAAAAGGGTAATTTCTTCGGCACAAACTCATACTCTAATGGTGTTCTTTTTTTTTTCTTTTCTTCTTACCTAGTAGTATACATATAGGCCTACCAAATGGCAGCATTCTTGAAGGGAGAAAATGCCAATTTCCCTACTAATACCACTCTTTCTTGAAGGCAGCAGAGGAAGTTGGATATCCAGTAATGATCAAGGCCTCAGAAGGAGGAGGAGGGAAAGGGATCAGAAAAGTCAACAATGCAGATGACTTCCCTAACCTCTTTAGACAGGTAAAGTGCAAGTTGTTTTGTGTAAATTACATGTATATCAGAAATACATGATTCAACTTTCTATATAATTTGAATGTCCAGAAAATATTTCATTTTTCATTTTGTCTGTAACTAATTTTTCTAGGCTCCACCTGCTTATTAGCAGGGTAAAATAGTAAATTCAATTTAATTTAAAGTTTTACTCAATTAGGTGATTCAAATAGCAGAGTTCTTTTCTCAGATGAAAGTGCTCAGTTTCTCAGGTAGTTTTTCCACCTATGTTATGTGTGGGTCATAGAACCACAGGGTGACATGGAAGTATCAATGCCTTTGTATATTTTTGTCCTCCTCTTCTATGTGTTGTAGATGAAGTATATAATATGGTCAACTCCTGGTCTAGATGCTCTTGGCTTGACCCAGACTCTCTTGGTCACTTTAGTTCAAATTGGTTACTGGCTCCTGAGTTTCTGCCTCATATCCCATCTACACTGTTGGCCAGCTGTCTACACCCTAGCCTGTGCTGCATGGCTGCCACACCCTGGCACACCAAGCCTATGGCAGGCCCCACATTCTGAGAACTGAGGGTGGCTGTGGAAAGCCAAGAACCTCTCTCAGCCTCATCCTCAGATTTGCAGACAGGCTGATGTGGCCACACTAAAGGTTGCTTATGGAGGCAGCCGAGGAAATCTCTTTTCAAAATCTTAGAGGGAAAATTGGGAGACTGGAGTTTCTTCTTTCTTGCTACAGAGTTCCCCTCACATGCCTCACTCACTTTTTTTCCTTCTACTATACCCAGGAAAAGACGAGTCAGAATAAGAAAAATTGGAATACAATCTGGCCTTTCCTCCTGGCTTCCCACCTTTTCATATTTTTCCACTATCTTTTACTTTGTCCCATCTTTACTACCCTTAGCCTCCTTTTATTTGTCCTTAAAAAAAAATTCAGTAACAAACTTTTTGTTTCACTATCATGGGCTAAAGGGATAAACTCTCATGAATTGGATCTTTCATGATATGTCATACCGGATAAACTGATAAACATGTTGTACTGCATTATTGAATTTTGAATGGAAGAATTTGAATATTGCCTTTCTGTACACTTTTCTGTAATATTCCTAATTAATAATCAGTGCCTGTGTTGTCGTTTTTGAAGGCTGTGGGTTTGGAGTGCAGGGTCCTTGAGTTCACTCTGGGAAAGGTTTCACCAGAGCTCCCGTTTCAGCGGCATGCAGCGAGTTTCCCAGACGAGTTTCTCCATGAGACAGAGACAGTAGTTATATTTAAAGGGTAGGTTTATTAGGAAAAGGGTCAGAAAAGTAAAGTACACTTGTATAGACACAAGTGGGCAGGAAGAGCTGCCCCAGAAGGGACAGGTTTGCTGAGAGAGGCCTGCATGGTTGCAGGCAGGCGGCCTTGACAGGTCACGGGCAGGCAGGAAGACTGCTGCCCTGCAGAGGGAGAGAGTTGGTAAAGAGGCACCTGCATAGTCACAGTGGGATTGCTGCCCCAGCCTGTGCAGAGACTGAACTGATAGAGTTTTCTTCTTTTTGGGAGGGGTCACTCCTTGTGAGTTGACTGCGCCTGGCCTCCGGATACTAATTTCCACAACTGTGTTGATGGTTATGCTAATCTCTTCTGCCCCCACTATTCTTGTCCTGCATTCCCTGGCGGTATCTAAAAAAGCATCTTAGAAGCAGAAGTACATGTTAATTCAACATGCTAACTCCTTTAGACACTTCAAAACTGCTTATTACTGTGGAATCAAATAGTTGGAGAGTCTAGACCATTAACAGAACATTTCATGTAAAACATCCCTTACATTCCAGTAAGGTTAACTAAATAGCTCAAATGAATCCTCCCATTCAGAAGAACTAGAAAAGAACCAAATAATAATAATGATGATGATGATGATAACAAACCTGTCTTAAGACATTAAGAGTCCTGTCAAGGCTGACAAGTGCCACATTTGGGACATATAAATCAGACCATCTAACCCCATTCAAGTTACCAGGTGACTAGCCTTGTGAGACTCTCACAAGTTACCAGGTGACTAGCCTTGTGATCTGTACAAGGCCCACCCCACTGACTCCACTCAAATTGCTGAGGAAATAAAATAAAATGGTTCATGTCCTAAGTCATCATTTGTGGTGGTTTTTTAGGCATCAACTCGAGACTTACACAGCAATTATAACTAAAGGTGTGATACTTCCATAAGTAAAAAAAAAAATGCGGCATTGGCTTTGAAACTGGCTCATAGGTAGAGGTTGGAAAATGGTGAGGAAGTTGTTAATGAAGTATGGAGGAATGGTGAACAGACTGTTAAAAAAGGCTGAAAAGGGAGTTAAGGGATTGTTGTTAGAGTCTGGGAAAGGGTTAACCCATCATCTTTAAATGGTGGAACATTTGCCTGAGATAATTTGAGGAAGAATATATTTAATGAATTTGTGGACCTAGTTATTCCAGATCTCTAGAAAATGTTATGGAATGAGCTGTGAGATGCTTCTAACTGCTTATAGTAAGTAACTGTAACAATGAGATGGGTTTAAGAAGCTGTTTCAAGCTTGTTGAGTTTTAAATTAGAACTGTTTCTCATTCTTTCCAATTGGTAAAAGATTCTCAAAATAAAAAGTGTCTTCAGGATAAAAGTCAAGAATAACTGTGAGATTTTTTAAGAGCTAAGAAATAGTCAAGGTAGTACCTGTAGATTCTCTCTAAGCTGGATGAAAGAGGGCTTCTAAAGATCTTAAGGTGTTGTTCCATAGCAGCCTGAAATACCCAAAGGTAGAGAGTCTGTTTTGAAGTATGTGTGTGAAAAGTTTGGGGCAAGGTGTGAATTCCCAGTGTTATTCATAGGACCCATGAAGATTTAAAGAGGTTTGCATTGATAAATACATCAGAGGGACTAAAAGTGACAGAGATAGCTCAAACTGAAGAGGCCTCTGGGACTTCAACTTCCTGTGGACAGAATTCAGACTGAGAAACCTACTCAATTGTTAATGATTTGTATTGAATAAAAAGATTATACAGAGAGCAGAGTCAGTAGTTCAGAGGACAGAGCTAAGAGCAGAGGGGAGTGATGAATTAGGAAACTATTTCCAAGGTGCAGAACAAGACCCATTTAAAAAAAAAAAAAAAACACCAAAAAGAAATAAAAAAAAGTCTGTATCCCTGGAGTGAGGAAACCTTATAACTTCTAAACTGGATTTCAGAAGTACTGTGGACCAGTGACTGCTATGTACATCCCATCCTCGATTTCTTTGAACGGGAATATATTTTACCGTTATCCTCCCCATCTCATCATCACATATTGGGGGTGTTGGGGGCAGATAACTTGTCTTTCTAGTTCCCAGGTCTTTGGATCAAGAGAAACTGCACCTGAGTTGCCAGACCTGAGGAGCAGCATTTGCTTCTGGACATAACTCATGAGAAAATGGACGTCAAGCCTGATGCCATGATTGGATGAGACTTTGGGGGTCTTGGGAGGGGGTGAGTCTATTTTGCATGTGGGAGGTATGTGAATTATTGTGGCCAGAGGGTGGACCTCATAAATTGTTTGCAGAGATGGCCTCAGTAACTCCTCCCATCCTTGTATTATATCCCTTTGCAATGTGACTTTGCCTTTCCTCCCATCAGGAGGTGGCGCCTCTTTTCCTACCCCTTGAATTTTACCTGGCCTTATGGCTTGCTTAGGCCATTTGAATATGGCCAGAGCAGTATTATGTAACTTCTAGAGTTTGGAACCTGTGAAGCCTTGCAGCTTTTGCCCTCACCCTCTTGGATTACTGCATTGAAGAAGCTTGGTATAGCCTACTAGTATATTAGTTCACATGCAAGAGAGATGAGCTGTTGCAGTTGACACTTCCCTAGACCACCAGCTACCCTCAAAATAAGTCACCAGACTCTTGAGTGAGACCATTCAGCTCCACTTGAGCCACCAGATGGTGATATGCACATGAGTGACCTCCAGGCAAGACCCGAAGAACTGCGATAAGAGCACAGCTTCATGAGCAAAGCAAATAAAATGGTTTATGTCCTTAAGTGCCACTGAGTTTTGAGGTGACATATAGTAAAACAGCATAGAAGAAACAGCACATGAAAGGTATGGGATACTGTGAAGTACTAACATCATGTACTTTGAGTCTCAAAAGAGAAGAAAAAGAATGGAGCAGCATCAATATTTGAAGAAATCATGAACAGAGATAATATGTGAAGAGAAAATGGCTAAAAATTTTTTTGAACTCATAAAAACACAGATTCAAAAAACACTATGAGCCCTGTAGAACAAGTGCAAAGAAAACCACATCTAAACTTGTCAGAATAAATATGCCACATCACTCCCCAAAAAGAAGAGAGAGAAAGAAATCTTAAAGCAGCTGGACAAAAAGATTACTTGGGAGGAGTAACTACCAGTTTGATAACTGACATCTCAGTAAAAACAGTGGAAACCAGAAAGCATTGGGATATCTTTATGGTGCTGAAAGAAAGTAATTGCTAGTATAAAATTCTGTATCCAGTGATAATGTGCTTCAAAATTGAAGGTGAAGTTTCCTTGACTCTAAAAATACTGCACACGATGTAAAGTGAAGCAGAAAAGCATCTAATCTGGAGCAAGTTGTACATTTGGCTGTTTGGAGATGACAGCAGTATTTTACCCCTTTGTGTGTGTGTTCTCAAAATATTTTGTTTTTTATCCTTGTAACACACTGAGTGTTCATACTTATTCATGTTCATCGATTAATATTAGTTATATAACTAAGAATGCAGCATCTTAGACATCAACAAAGGCATGAACTGTTTTTTATTCACTTTTGTATTCTTACTGATTAACTTCTAGACATCTGCCTGTTGAAGTTGAAGCAGCTTATCAAGATAGAAGGAAAAATACTTGCCTCTTAAAATTTTGTTTTATTTTCTTTTCTAATACAGGTTCAAGCTGAAGTCCCTGGATCTCCTATATTTGTGATGAGACTAGCCAAACAATCTCGTCATCTGGAGGTGCAGATATTAGCAGATCAATATGGCAATGCTATCTCTTTGTTTGGTCGTGATTGCTCTGTGCAGCGCAGGCATCAGAAGATTATTGAAGAGGCACCTGCTGCTATTGCTACTCCGGCAGTATTTGAACATATGGAACAGGTATGTGTATGAGAAGCTCTAATTTTTGTTTTCTTACATGGAACTACTACTCACTAAATTCACTTACCAAACTCAGTGGGATTGCAAGCCATGGTTCCAGATTATTGCTAAGATTATGTTCTTTTCCTAGAGGAAAAATAATTGTGTCCTCCTTCTAGGAGAGTTGCCAACAAACACTTTAAGCTCTAAAATTAGTTAACACTTGAAAAACATCAGTACACTATTTTGAGTGAAGATAGAGAAATATTTTGAGATTTTTGATTTTATGGTTTGATTTGTTTTTAATAAACTGATGATAGACAGGTAGGCAGTTCCATTTTCTAGACTGATTATCATATGTCTTCAGATGATTTTCAGATTCTTAAAGATCCCCAGAGTATCTTTAAAGTTTACATAATTTACTGTTTTATTATATATAATGTATATTTTATTATATATTTAGATATAAATATATAATATATAGTATTTTATTATATATAACACATTAGGTGTGATATATTATTGTATATAATATATTCATAATATACTATATATCATATGGCTTTTTTTGGTATAAAAAGCATTACAGCAGTCTTAAAGTCTCCCTTGAACATGGATTTGCAACTTCGTCTTCATCTGATTGAAGATATATTTTCCATCTCTTTTTTTTCTCCTGAATTTCAAACAAGTTAAATATATGGTCATCTGTGTTGGAAGTTTAATTCCTAAATGTGTGTGTGTGTATGTGTGTGTGTGTGTGTGTGTGTATACTAAGATGCACTCTATAAATGTAGAGATCTCTAGGTTAGAATGACTTAAACAAGGATAAGTTCTATTTCTCTCTCCTAATTCAGAGGTGAACCAGTGGCAGAAAACCAGCTGACTGCTCTGCCATTGCCTAGGACAGGAGTTATCAAACTATAGCTTGCAAGTCAAACCTAACCTTCGACCTGTTTTTTAAAATCTTTTAAAATGTTGTCTATGGTTGCTTTTTCCCTGCAATGGCAATGTTGAGTAGTTGTGACAGAGAATATGTGACCCACAAAGCTGAAGTGAATTACTTTCTAACCTGTTTCCCAAAAAAGTTAGCCAACCTTTGCCCTGGGTTATCATCATCTTTCTGATTAAGGCTAGCTTACTAGATTGTTTCATATAGCCTGTGGGAGGGGACAGTGGACATGGAGGACAAGCTTATAGAAATATGATTTAGAGGTCACACATTTAGTTCTGCTCACATTCCATTGGACAAAACTGAGTTACACCATCATACCTGGCTGCAAGGGATATTAGGAATTATAGTCACTAACTGGATGACAATATATTCAGCTGAAATTCAGGAGAGTATGTTGCTAAATGGATGAAGCAAAGAAAAATTATTGAAGGGCATTTAGTAATCTGTACCTCAGTCTGCTTCTCTGGCTATCCATTAACCTTTCACATCCCTTTTCTTACTCTTAGAACACTCTTAGCCTTTTCCCAAAGAAGACAGCCCAAAGTCCCATCCAGTTACTTACATTCAGCTTGAAGTCCAAAGTCTCTAGGTAACACAGTCTTCTCCATGAAATGTGCATGTGACTTTTCATGGGCCAAGTGACCCTTATGTCATTCTTTCTTCCTTTATATACCCTATATAAAGTTGTGGAATGGGAACAGATAACTCCCATTGGGAAAAAGAAGAATGAAAAATATACAGTTATTTTTGATACATAGCAGTCATCTAATTCTTCCAGGCAGGAATTGTGATGATTTCCTGCACGCAGTGGAGTAATACTTCAGTTCTCATCGCATGCTGACTGTCCCTGGTTCTGCTCTCTAGAAGTAAATCCCTTGCCCATCATCTATCAAGGCACCTGGCTTTGTTCTCTGGGGATGGCTTTCTTGTTCACTTTTCTTTGTGACTGGCCTTTGGAGACTTTACCTTCTTTGGAGCACTTTCATGGCTTACTTCCTGCTGGTGCAGGATTGGGGCCACAAAGATGACTCCATTTTTCAGTTGCAGGCTTCTGAAGATCAAGTTTGTAGCTTGTCTAGAAATCCAATTCCTTTTAAACTTAGTAAGTTTCTGGGCTATTTGTTCTTGTCAGCCTCAGGTTGGACTAACCAACCCCAAGGTTATTAGATATAGAAACTTTTCCTCTTATTGACTGTTTTATGTGTTTAACCCATCCCTATCTCTCCTTAATTTAATACTGGCTACCTTGAGGCCAGCTGAAACTAAAACAGCACCCTTAATTTGGTCTTTGACACTAGGTTGCTTCAGGGTGAGAATCTAATCTTCTGGATTTGGGGTACAAAAGTAGATGGTATTTTCACATTATGACTTTTTCTAATCATTTCTCTTAGGGCTTAGTTGGTGTGTTGCTTGCATTCCATGTTGTTGTAGGAGACAGTTGACCAAGTGCTTTGTTGCTGTTAACAAGGAGGCTGCCAGCTTCTCAGTTTGCAGTATGCTTCTTTGTTACCCACTGCCCTATTGCATATTTAATTTTTTTTTTAGATAGCAGCACCCTACCTGAATTTAGTAAGTTCTGTATTGATGAAGATTTAGATTAAGCTGTTGTAATAGAGACACCCCCCCCCCGAAAATACAATGACTCAGATAAGATAGACGTTTATGTTTATTTCCCATCATAATCTGAGGAGTCCAGGGCTGGACAGTGCAACTCCATGAGGCTATTTTGGGATTCAGGTTCCTTATGTTTGGTTTTGCCGTCCTTTGTGTGTCGAAACTGGTTTGCACTGTCATCACCATGTTCCTGTTCATAGAAGGGGAAAAGCCAGGAATAGAGGACAAGCAATTTCCTTTTCAAAACATGATGTAAGGGTTATGCGTGTCACTCACTGATGCTGTCATTATATTGGTCAAAACTTAGTCATTCGCTGTGAGAGGTTGAAAAATCTACTCTTATTTCTAGGGAGAATACTAGGAATACTAGAACCTAAGACAGAATGAAGAGTCTGCCCCAGTATTTTTTTTTTTTTTAAGATTTATTTATTTATTTATACAAGCACTGGGTACAGTCAGAGGTGCAGGAGGATGAGAGAATTCACCAGAGCCAGAGTGGAGAGTAGAACAGGCAGAGTGACAAAGTACACTGCTGAGGGGAGCAGCGGGCAGCAGGAGAGGTCTGTGTGCCATGTGGGCCCTCTCCCAGCGGCCGGGGATCGAACCGGCGCTGCAGAGGCTGCAGGCAGCTTCGCAACCCAGCACTCAACCGCTGCGCCACCGGGGAGGCCCAGCCCCAGTATTTTTTTGCCTGCTTGGATTTATACTTGCCTGTGATCCTAAGTGAAAAACACTCTTTCCCTCCAACTTTTAGTTGAGTTTGTCTTCCATGTCCAGAGATCTTGTGTAATAATCAGAAAGTGTGAAATTTGTTCTCATGTGGCTAAAAGCCTTTGGTGGCTTTTATAAACACTGGATAGTTGAGGCTATAGATCAGCAATGGTTCACCATTTGTATAAGGTGAAATACTTATGTTTGCTTATCATTCTTCAAGTGTGCAGTAAAACTTGCCAAAATGGTTGGCTATGTGAGTGCTGGGACTGTGGAATACCTCTATAGCCAAGATGGCAGCTTCTACTTTCTGGAACTGAATCCTCGGCTACAGGTGGAGCACCCTTGTACAGAGATGGTGGCTGATGTCAACCTTCCTGCAGCACAACTCCAGGTGAGTCACCCTTTTCTATAGGCTCAGAGTTTCCTAGAGAAGTTAGGTCTATCAGAGATGCCTGAAAAACTGGTTTAGCCAGTATCTAATAAAGAGAATGGTATTTCCTGTCTAGGTCTCATCTAATGTTCATCTCATGCTTTTTGGGTTGTGATGTGTGGCTTGGTCATCCTGTGATGTGTGGTACAACCCTAGTCATAGTATTATATTTTTAGCCAAATACATCTTATAAACTGTCATGTTTCAGCAAGAAACTTTTGGGAATAATAGCTTTACTCAATTGCTTTAATTATAAAAATTTTAGAATTTGGTAACTCTCTTCTACTCCGCTTACTAGTGTTCCATATCAAAGCATTTCCAGAGCGGTGGTCAAGATTTTCCTGGCCAGGCTTTTGCAGCACACATTTATTTTTATTGTGTTTAAAGTGCAAGCTCTCGATATTAATTACTCCATTCAACTCAGAAAACAAATCCTATGGGAAGCAGTAATAGCTAATAGTGAGGTTTGATATGATGTTTTTGTGTCTTATTCTTTGCCTATATCGATAACCCCTTTTGTGTTCTCACTCAGAACTAAAGATGTATTTACTTCCTCCAGTGATTTGGGGGCGATGGCAGAGATAATTATGCCATAACTTTTTAGCTATCTGAACTTCTTGGATAGCTATTAATATTGACTCTTCCCTTGAATATATTCATTCTGATCCCTTGATGGATGGATAAATAAAAGTATATGGAAACTGATGTCTTTGCATTAGGGAACTTTTTTAGGGATGGTATGAACTTAGCAACTTATCTTTACTGTGATATATTCTGTTTCAAGTAAGAATTACTTATTTGATGATGGTAGACTATAAAAATAGAATGCTTTATGGGGTGACTACTAAAATATAAAATTTTGTAGGTAACCTGATAGCCTACCCATTTTAAGGAAAATAGCTATGGAAAATAACTGATGTGTGTTTTATTACCTTTCAGATTGCCATGGGGATTCCTCTATACAGAATCAAGGATATTCGTATGATGTATGGTGTATCTCCCTGGGGTGATGCTCCCATTGATTTTGAAAATTCTGCTCATGTTCCTTGCCCAAGGGGCCATGTTATTGCTGCTCGGATCACTAGTGAAAATCCAGATGAGGTAAACCCATCATTTAAAAGGTTTATACTTTCTTTTCCTTGTGAACTTTCACATTAAAATGGCATATGAGGGCATACTTTTGAAACAATTTGGAACTCCCTCTGGGGAGGGAAGTTTGTGGAGATTTTATTTTATTATTTTTTTATTTTTTAAACTATTTTTTTTTTAAATAGAGGCATGTTTTATTTATTTATTTATTCATTTGTTTGTTTTTGTTTATACATGCACTGGGTACAGTCAGAAGCGCGGGAGGGTGAGAGAATTCACCAGAGCCAGAGCGGGGAGCAGAGCAGGCAGAAGGACCGAAGTACACTGCTGAGGGGAGCAGCGGGCGGCAGGAGAGGTCTGCGCGCCATGTGGGACCCTCCTCCGGTGGCTGGGGAGCAGCCGGGGATCGAACCGGCGCTGCAGAGGCTGCTGGCAGCTTCGCAACCCAGCGCTCAACCGCTGTGCCACCGGGGAGGCCCAGTTTGTGGAGATTTTAATCAAAGCAGACATATAATTCTACATCAATCTACAGAGTTTTTAGTGAGTCTGTAGTAATGGATGCTGGCTTAAGCCATTTTGATTTTTGTGAGTCACTTCTGCTTTTGTGTGTGATTAATAAAGAACCTAAACGGATTTCTAAATGTTCTCCTTCTTGGAAATATAATATGGTCTCTCATATTCTTCATTTTCTAACAGGGTTTTAAGCCCAGCTCAGGAACAGTTCAGGAACTGAATTTCCGTAGCAATAAGAACGTTTGGGGTTATTTCAGTGTTGCTGCTGCAGGGGGTCTTCATGAATTCGCTGATTCTCAGTTTGGTCACTGCTTCTCCTGGGGAGAAAACAGAGAAGAAGCAATTTCGTGAGTACAATGGCATTTGATTGTATTTTAAAAAATAAATTGTACTAATCTTCAGTGAAGATGCAAGTATGTGAATGGGGATCTTCACTAATACAAATACCTTTCTGAAGACAGACATCTTCGCTTGTACTTGCCTTCATGTTGGTTTAAATGATGCAGTGTTTGGCAGATGGTTTTTGAGTCTTCTAAAATATTTCTTGCTTTCACATATATTTGATAACCTTGTAAAGTTGATTGCCTTAAAAATATTTTTTTTTTCACATAGGTAACAGTATTGTTATTGACAGTCTAGATAGATGTCTTAGAATCCAGAAATGGGTTAGTTTTTTCTATTTTTTGGTCTATTTCCTGCACTAAGCAATTCCATCCCCTTGACCTGTCAATGGTACACATAAAACTAGTAAGGTAATTAGTAAGTATTTATTTGTAATTTATTAATAATATCTATCAATTTTAATAATATCAGAAGTAGCAAATGCTTAATTTTTCTTTATTTTGGCCTCCACAATTCTTTCCATTTATTCAAAACTTGAAGTGTGGTATTTCAAAGTTAAAACAATGTTGCCAAAAACCCAAGTACACATAAAGTTGCCTTTTTTAATCTTGCAGTCATATCCTGCTTTGCCAAAGTAAAGAAGGTTTACTGTAGAGCTTCTGAATTGATGGCTTCCCAACTAGTCTTAGCCGCAGATGTTATCTGATTGACTTACAGAGTGTTAAATTGTTTTTAATTGCCAGTATTTAAAAATTGGGAGATTGAAATAAATATATGGATTTCGGTCTTCTCTTAAAAAGTGGATGATAATGACAACGTTGGTTTTATATTCCACTTGGCAAAAGTTAACTGAGACTTTGTGTGGCTGTTTCTTTTAGAGGCAACATGAGCTCTTTAGTTTGCACAGCTCCTATCTAACTTGCCTCTCTCATTTACATTCCTAAGCTGGCCTCTATTCTTATTTTGGTTTGTGGTCCTGATTAGATAGACCACTGAATATTTTCTACATGACATAATCTAGGACCTGAATAGAAGTCTTGCTGCTTACTTCCTGACCTGCTCTGTATACTTCTCTACAGTGTAAAGTTAATTAGGCTAACTTTGAGCATATTAAAAAATAGGGTTCTACAAAAAGCTTGCTTCTTGATACCATGTCCAAAAGTTCTTTCTTTAGCTCAGTGTTTTTTCTCTTTTCTTCTTAGGTCTGTGGGATTCAGTGTGGTATTCATATCCTTGTTCTCTAGAATAGCTCCAGTCCTTATTTCCAGCATCATTTTCCATAACGCATTACTTAGTAACTACAAGAAGAGGAACATATCTATCTTGTTTCTGCCACATCCCCTGAAGATAGTAAATATTCAGTGAAGGTTGAGTGACTGGATTGGCTACTAATTCCTTATACTCTCTGCTCAGTTGTAATGTTACCTGAAGACAATTGTTACTTTCTTCCTCCTTTTATTCTTGTTTTTCCCTCTGCCCATTCATTCACTCCATTCAGCAGTTACTGGACATCTACTATGTACTAGTAATGGCAATATAGTGAGGACCTACATGAGAGCTCTGCCCTCAAAGAACTTGATAACCAGAGAAAGGGAAATAAATAAACCATGAAACACAATGTAGTAAGTGCTGTGATAGTGGAATTACATAAGGATGTGATATCAACATATAGCGAAGTCAGCTAGCTCGGTCTAGAGGGAGTTAGTGAACGTTTCCCAGAAGGAAGTAACATCTACACTGATACCTGGAAAGTGAATAGGTATAGCAGGTTAGGAGAGATCATAAAGAGGAGGTAGAGGTGGGAAACAATAATATTCTAGGCTGAGGGAATGCCTGCATCCCTGGAACAATATTCCTATCACAGTCATAAGCCCAGCTGTACTTTTAACCTATATTTTACATTCTTCATGAAACCTTTAGAAGGTAGATTTTCTTCCTTCCTAGGAGCTCTCCAGCACTGCTTATAGCTCTCTACTGCCAACTATGATATTCCACCATGTACTTTGAAAATGATTATTGTATCTATATTCTGTCTCCCTCAGGAGCCTATGATGTGTCTTGAGTCTGTGAGATGCATAAGTATTTGTTGAAGTAAGGATTTGCCCTATGAAGGGCAGACATTGGACAGAAATACACAGAAAAAAATCCCATAGTACTCAAAATGTTAAAATTAGATCATTTTACACTTAATTAGGAAGTAATGTAAGTAAAGAGCATGTCATTCCACTCATCTAAATACAGCTTCAAAGAAATACTTTAACATGCAGTGTCGGGCTGATGCCTGACTGTACCTTTTCATTGTATGGAAACCTTCAAATTCAGGTATAAAGATCTGTCAAAATTCATTGAACATTATACTTAAAAAAAGTATATTTTATTGCTTATAAATTATATCTTAATAAAGTAAATAAGACTGGAGGTGGGGAGACTTATGCCCTAATTCTGATTAGCCTGCAGTAAATAAATGGAATGATGGAAACCTTAGAGGTGAAAGCTGAGGGCAGTTGGCACATCATTTGGCCTGTACTCTATATAATGAAATGCGTGTGACTTGCTGATGTCCTGATAGTAATATCAGTCAAAATTCATAAACTGACTTCTTGCCAGTGCTCCAATCAGGAGTTCATGTGAATGAGCACACTTACATTTGCACGCTCATTTGTTATTGGTGTTGTCTGTCTCCTCTCCCTCTTAAGACTCCAAAGAAATGAAATGATACTCTAAACGATTACAGAAACACTAAAGCATGTGTTGCTAAAATGGATTTGCTTCTATTCTTCTTGCAGAAACATGGTAGTGGCTTTAAAAGAGCTATCTATTCGGGGTGATTTTCGAACAACAGTTGAATACCTGATCAAATTGTTGGAGACTGAAAGCTTTCAGTTGAATAGAATTGACACTGGCTGGCTAGACAGACTGATAGCAGAAAAAGTACAGGTGTGTATTTCTCCATTTGCACAAACAACTTCTACGATTGGGTTTTTATGGTGTGGAGTGTGATCAGTCCATGTCGCTAGATAAAATTTGATTCTAATGTAGATGCTTCTTGATCTACTTGGAAAAGTCTGAGTCAGTATAATTTTAGTACTCTGAGAGTTCCTGTACCTGGTGTTACACAGTCATTTTTTATGTTCTAACATTACGTCCTGAGTATATTTGAAAAGAGACATGCAGGGATTGAAATACTTCTTTTTACAAATTCTATGTTAAATCTGGTTCAGTTACCAACCCCAAGTACTGATGACCAGGGTCATTTAAATTAATAGAATTACCCCTGTTCCAAATGGCTAGGCTGTTCTAAATTATCCAAATTTTTATACAAAGTTATTAAATTCATGTAAATTATCTGCAGGCCCAGATTCTGGATATGCACTATTTTTCTTTGAGATTTTTCAGTAGCCAAATCTTTGTACCTTTCTGAATTTATTTCTAACAAAAGCTTGTTTTCAAGTTGCTTTTTTTTTTTGATTGGCTCAATGGAAATCTTAGGGACAACAGAGGGAAAGTTGTTTTTTTCATCTCTATTCAAATGAGGCCTCTGTTTAAATTCTAAAAATAAAATGTGTTTTTAACTCAATGTGAATGTGTTTTTAATCTCAAAAGTCATTTGTGCAATAAAGGTGAAAATTCTCAATGCTAGCTATTTCTTCACAACAAATTTGAACCTGTTGTAAATTGAGGGGGCCTGGTGACCATGCTTTTGATATACCCCCTTTCTTCCTTTCAGGCAGAACGACCTGACACCCTGTTGGGAGTTGTGTGTGGGGCTCTCCATGTGGCAGATGTGAGCCTACGTAACAGCGTCTCTAACTTCCTCCACTCCTTAGAAAGGTAGGTTTTGTTTCTTGTAGGCTGTGCAAGCTGACTGATCAGTGGTGTAGAGGATAGGACTGAAGCTCAAATGCATTTATTCCCTCTGTTCCTGGTTCTTTGTTATTCACTGACCATGGAACAGGGAAGAGAAGGGATGTAGGAGTTTATGGCAAATTATTTTGGTGCTGTAACTGCAGATAAATCAACTTATATCACAGTTAGAATATGTTGCTTTTTTTCAAAAACTGGAATCCAGCGGAAGTAAACATTCTGTCCTGTAAAAACACCAAATATCTCCAAACTCTGATCATGTAAATCTGGTGTTTCTTTGTAGCTTTGAACTCTGAATATTTCATATTACCTGCAGCACATTTCAGAATTAATAACTGAGGCTGATATTCAAGTTGACCTCATGAGACTTTCAAGTATGGGGTTAAACTAATTTTTTACATGGTTCTCAAGCCTATGCTCTGTCTTTGAGTCCCCAGAGGAATGATCCAAGGGACTAATCACTTTAAGACACTTTAATCACAGGCACTTTGTTTCCTTCTGTGTAGTTAGACTTCTATCAGCTACCTTTTGAGGTGTCTAAAAGGAAGAAAAGGAATAAAAATCTTTAAATTGAAACTGAGATTTCAATTCAAATCTTTTGATAAGTATCTTTACTTATCAAAGTTACTCTGATGCACTAAAGCCTTTAGAGCTCACATTACCCTGCTCTATTAAATCTAAATCCCTGAGTATTACTTTCAACTTCCTATATGCTTTGACCCCTTTCTACCAGTCCACTTTGTCTTATTTCTATTCTTCATCATGCAGTCTCTACCCTAGCTAAATGATTTCACTACTGATACACAAATGTAAAATCTCTTGTACAATTTCACCCTTCCTTTTAGCCTCGTTTTTAAAACTTGTATTTTGAAGTAATTTCAAACTTATAAAAGAGTGGTACCAATAGTGCTAACAACTTCTATATGTTCTTTACCTGGTTGATCTACTATTAATAACTGCCACACTTGTTTTATCACTTCCTCTCTTTATTATTATCAAAATTCTCTTGATAATGTTTCCCTTGTTGGCAATAAAGACTCCAAATAAAGTTTTTTATTTAAAGGTCCCAAATAAAATGCCAACTGGTAATTGTAGAGGAAAGTTGATTGTACTAGGCCTTTAAAAATTTTAATATTATTAATTTTCAAGAACAGGAAGTATATTCATATAGTTTAAAATTGATTCAAAAGGCTGAATATGTATATATAATGAAAAGTCACTCTACCTTTCTCTTCCTGGCCATTTAGTTTCCTTCCCTGTGTCAAAACCTGATCTTCTGTAGCCTTCTAGACATATTTGATAAACTTATATAGGCATATACATATAATATTTGTTTCTTCCTTCCCCCATTTTTGTGTTTACTTATGTTTTAGAAAATGAAGTTTGAATTAGTACATAAAAGGTTTAATTTTCTTTTTAATGACTGCATAATATTCTACTACATGGCTCTTTCATTATGTATCAGTCCCTTACTGGTTGTCCTTTAGATTGTTTCCAGCCTTGAGATGCTAGGAAGAATTGTAATCAATAAACTTTGAGGATCTCTCATAAATGTTTGGAACTTTCTAGAAGTATTTCTCATTTTACTGTTCTTTCAGGGGTCAAGTCCTTCCTGCTCATACACTTCTGAATACAGTAGATGTTGAACTTATCTATGAGGGAGTCAAGTATGTACTCAAGGTATGCTGAACCCAACTGAAGCCTAGCCTTATGTTTTGTCTTAATTTATTAGCTTTCGTTTCTGAGGTCAGGAGTTGGAGGGGAATTTTGGTTTGCCACAAGCTTAGGTGTTAGTGAAATTATAGCCATATGTGGCAATAGCCTAAAGTGGTATTTGATTCTATGGAAATGTTTTAGTTGTGCCTCAACTTTATAGATGTAGCTGAGAGATAAAGGAGAGAACATCTTGAGCAAGGAGGAGCATCTCAGGTCTCCCTGTTGGCTTGCAGTATGGCTGAGATGTGCCCATAGACCTTGAAGTGAAGGGTGCCAGGACTTGAATTTCCTTCCTCCTGATAGATTCTTCTTACTTATATCTGAGTTACTGAAATTTTGTCTGTGACTTCACTTAGGAGGATCATACTAACTTGCCCTTCTGGTTTTCATTCTCTATAGGTGACTCGACAGTCCCCCAACTCCTATGTGGTGATCATGAATGGTTCATGTGTAGAAGTAGATGTGCATCGACTGAGTGATGGAGGACTGCTCTTATCCTATGATGGCAGCAGCTATACCACATACATGAAGGAGGAAGTAGACAGGTGAATGACTGTTTGAGGTCCTTTTGCTGGTCATTACATCAAAGCTTCTTCTCATTTGTCATAGGAATTTTCCCAGTCCTTTTGGTACTTAACAAAGATTTTAAGAGTACAAAAAGTGGGCCTCCCTGGTGGCGCAGCGGTTGAGTGCTGGGTTGCGAAGCTGCCCGCAGCCTCTGCAGCGCCGGTTCGATCCCTGGCTGCTCCCCTGCCACCAGAGGAGGGTCCCACATGGCACGCAGACCTCTCCTGCCGCCCGCTTCTGACTGTACCCAGTGCTTGTATAAATAAATAAATCTTAAAAAAAAAAAAAGTACAAAAAGTGTTGGCAATTAAAAATACGTTCTCTCTGCCACTACAATGTGAGTGGACAATGAATATTAAGTTCCTGTCTTTATAAGCATCCATGGTTAATAGTTTCTTATATATTTCTGCAGAAATTTTATATACATATACAAGTTGCTTATATGTATATGTATACACTATGTTTTCTTTTAAATACTTTTGCAAATAACTTTTGAGTGCTGGTCTTTATTATTTTTTTTCTTTAACATGTGGACAATTCAACATTAATTATCAGTATTGTGACAGCAAAATGTACTGACCCGTGTAAAGTGCTAAGAACATTAACTGGGATCATAGTAAGGGTCCAAGAAGTGTTAGCTATTACATCATCATTGTCTTCAAGAGGTTTTTTTTTAATAGAGGTGTCTGTTCTTTTTAATGACTGTATAGTATTCCACTATATGAATGTGCTAAAATTTTTTAAATCTGAATCTTACAGAAGAAAATTCTGGTTATTTAGCATTCCACACACAGAATTTCTCTCTCTCTCTCTCTCTCTCTCTCTCTCTCTCTCTCTCTCTCTCTTCTCTGTGTGTGTGTGTGTGTGTGTGTGTGTGTGAGAGTGAATGAATGTACATGTGTGCAAAATAAATTTTTCCTTTTTTTTCTTTTAAGATCAACATTTTATTTTAACCTGCAGTGTTTTATTGGCTTACATACTTCTCTTATTTCCTAGATATCGCATCACAATTGGGAATAAAACCTGTGTGTTTGAGAAGGAGAATGACCCTTCGGTGATGCGCTCACCTTCTGCTGGGAAGTTAATTCAGTACATTGTGGAAGATGGAGGCCATGTGTTTGCTGGACAGTGCTATGCTGAGATTGAGGTTAGGGTGATAAATGGACTTTTCAGGCCTTGGGAGGGAAGGTAGGAAAAGGATTGGCTGAAATGGACTAGGACTGAAGAGTAACAGGAAATAGAAAGAAAACAGGATCTGTTGGTTTAATTGGGTTGTGAACCTTAGGATTTTAAAATAAATTAAAAGCTCACAGTTTTTCTTTGGTAGAGGAGAAAGCTCTAGCTCTATAAATACATGGTGGGTGACAACACTGAGTTAGATGTTGTGTTAAGTGCTGGTTATACAGAAAAAAATGATAGGTGAAATGGGGCCACAAAAGAAAGATGAAATGGAATGTGAATTCTAAGACAGCTAAGTACAGAGTGCAGAGGGACATCTAATGCATATCAAAGCAGGGCTAGTGGCTCTGGGGTAGGTAGTAAGGGAGTTCTTCCTGAAACAGGGAACACTAGATCTTAGTTTTAAAAGATAGGTATTAATAGACCAGGTGAGGGAGGGCAGGGAAGAATATTTAGAGTTGAAGGAACAGCATGTACAAAGGCACAAAACCAAGGGAGTATGGTATATTTAGTTAACTTCAAATACTTATTGATATTGTTTGAGAATGAACCAAGGTTTAATGGCAAGTGGCAAGCAAGGATGCTAAATAAATGATCAGGTGTGAGAACATAAAGTATCCTATAAGACTTACTAAGAAATTTAGACTATCTTGAAGGTAGTCAGGATTCATTGAAGAATTTCAGTGTAAAAGTAATATGATGAGATTTGGGCTCTAGAATGATTGCTTTTAGTGACCTTCTTGGAAGTGTATTGAGATGTGATAAGTGCCAGATGTGATAAGTGCCTAAATCAACAAATGGCAAAAGAAGATTTTGCTGGGCTTAGTAATCAGTAGATAAGTTAGAAAAAGGAATAAATAATGTCCCCATAGGTTTTGGCTTGGATATTTTAGGTAGATGTACAGAGGGAATACCTAGATTAAGAATATGAGGAGGTTAAATTTTACATCATTTGTAAGTACAGAGCAAAGCAAGTGAAAGCACAAACTGGACAAAATGAATTTAAATGTTAAAAACAGGAAAAGTTAGTAATTGTCATTAATCTGTAAAGCTGGATCCTAAGAGATTTTCTAATTGTTTGCCTTGGTAGTCCTTACAGATTTTGATAGATTACTTTTCTAGATTGAATTGCGTACAGTAGAACTTAGGTGCTAAGGAAAACTGGCCTTTGAATCATATTTCTGTGTAACGAGAGGTCAAACTCTATTTTATTTTTCATCGAAGGTGATGAAGATGGTAATGACCTTAACAGCTGCAGAGTCTGGCTGCATCCATTATGTCAAGCGGCCTGGAGCAGCTCTTGACCCAGGCTGTGTAATAGCCAAAATGCAGTTGGACAATCCCAGCAAGGTTCAGCAGGTGAGTAGAACTTTGCTTTGGCTGTTATGCTCCAAGAACTGATTATTTGGTGGAGGTAGATTAGAAGGATGATTTCAGGGTTTGGTTTGCTAGTTTTATTTCCTGAGCACCTTATCCCATCCCCTACCTCCTCCCAGCCCTGCCTAGATCTTATGTTTTTTTATTTGTGCCTATACTATTACAGAACTAGAAGTTGAAGAGTTACTATTACACTGAGATTAGTGATTTTATCATGATGCTTTCTCCGTTGACTTCCGTCTTTGTAGCTGGGTATAGTGAAGGAATATCTTGATTTTGAATGATGACTCTAAGATGCAGTGGTGTATTTGCACCCTTAGTACAAGGCACTGGATGACTTGATCTCTCATTGGGCTTGACAGGCTGAGCTTCACACTGGCAGTCTGCCACAGATCCAGAGCACGGCACTCAGAGGCGAGAAGCTCCATCGAGTGTTCCACTACGTCCTGGATAATCTGGTCAACGTAATGAATGGATACTGCCTTCCAGATCCTTTCTTTAGCAGCAGGGTATGAATCATTTCTCTTGGGAAATGGATTTACAAATAGGGTACCTGTCCTCTAAGATAGTTTGAAGTTGCATAAGGATTTTTTAAGAGGGAAGGAAAGAAAGCTGCTTGAAACTCACCCACTTTTTGATGTGGCATTTAAAGTCTTTAAATCCTTGCCTCTTACTCTGTCATTGACTTCACATTTCATTAGAAATTAAGCTAGAGGGCCTCCCTGGTGGCACGAGGGGGTTAAGCACCGCACTATGAAGCAATCCACAGCTTCTGCAGCACGAGTTCGATCCCTAGGCTGGTCAGAGAGAAACCCACATGGTGAGGCAGATCTCTCCTGTCTCGCCCACTGCTCCCCTCAGCAGTGTATTTCAGTCAATCTGCCTGTTCTGCTCCCCACTCTGTCTCTGGTGGATCCTCTCGCCCCCCTCATCTCTGGCCTGTACGCCAGCTCTTGTGTGCATAAATAAATCATAAAAAAAAAAGAAAGAAATTAAGCTAGAGAATAAGAGCAGTGTTGGATACTTATATTCCAGTTTCAGAGTACTATACGATAGTGAATTCAGACATATTTTATTTTGAGAGTTGTGTTGATTTTGTCTGTGGATCTTATCATTTCCTTCTCAGGTAAAAGACTGGGTGGAGCGGTTGATGAAGACACTCAGAGATCCCTCCTTGCCACTCCTAGAATTGCAGGATATTATGACCAGTGTCTCTGGGCGTATTCCCCTCAATGTGGAGAAGTCTATCAAGAAGGAAATGGCTCAGTATGCTAGCAACATCACATCAGTCCTCTGTCAGTTTCCTAGCCAGCAGGTATTTATAAGGGAACACTATTGTCATTTTCCACTGGCTACCAGTGCTGGAGTTCACACTGTAGAACTGTTTTCTGTCTGCATCCTTCTTACACACTGGATGTTGTGCTTTTGTAGTTTTAAGCATTGTGTGGATCACTAAAATGCCTCAGGACACAAGCCCAATAATGAAAGTACTATATGCGAAATGCATTCTCTGACCACACAGGCTTTAGAGGTTTGTGCCCTAATGGGACACAGACATAGGGGCTGTACCTTAATTAGAGATATTTTTGTAAATTTTAAGTAGAGTTTTATTATCAGAGATTTCTTGCTACCTCAACAGTATGCTTACCCTTTGCTTATAAAACAAATTTACTTGTGGGAAATAAAGTTAAGCCAGTGGGAATTAGTTTGAACCTTGACCTTAAGCATATCTTGCCTATTAGGGCCTCTGGTAGAGGGTAGTTTTTGTGATGCAATCATTAGGTCATCTGGGAACTGAAGAAAGGAGATGACTGTTGCTTACTTATTATAACAAGCCCCTAAACTGTACCTTGCTACTTCCAACTACTCCCAACATGTGAAAGATAGAAATCACTGTGTTATAATTACGAAGATTGCTAGTGGCAATGTTGTATAGACTAAAGCTTTGGGTCCCACTGTTGGGATGGGTTTCATTTTTTCCCTTTTTTATGCTTTAGATTGCCAACATCCTAGATAGCCATGCAGCTACATTGAACCGGAAATCTGAACGGGAAGTATTCTTCATGAACACTCAGAGCATTGTCCAGCTGGTCCAGAGGTAGTTACATATAGCTCCAGATTCCCAGACCTGTCCTTCTCCATGCCTTCCTTTCTTCGAAGTAGTCAAGAAGAGATTTACCTCAGGTTGAACTTAGAGAAATTACAAATTACTGTATAGCTTAGAAAATATCTTATGTTCAAAATATTTTAGAATTGTGAGCTCACTGTCAGACTCAGTATTTCTGATGATGTCTTCCTATTCTGTATCTATTGTGAAGGTACAGAAATGACAGTTTTCTTTTGCCTTACAGTTTTTTTTTTCCTCAAGTTTCAGATATTTATTATTCAGTATAAACCCCAACCCAAAACACCAACATGATTTTGTACATCCAGAGGGGAAATATTTCTTGGTTAAGTGGGAAATTGTGTGGATAACTTTTGGAAATCATTTCTTTTAAGCAGCTTTGTAGTGACATATTTCATTTAGAAGTCTGGACCTTCTTTCTTCAGTTTGCTGTGATCTAAATTCACTGAATAAAACTGGCATTGGGACCCATTTTTCACCCAAGGTTCTGAGATACTCTTCACTGGGACCCATTTTGTTCCAAGTTTCTGGGTTATTCTTTCTCTCCCAACTTAAATCTGCATTGAACAAAACCAGACACGTGATGTACTGCCCTGCTCATTACCTCCCACTCCAATAAATACAAAGAGGCCTGAAGCTAGAATGAGTCTTGGCCTGATCAAGGATCTGGTGGCACGTGGCTGCAAAAAAGAACTTGGGCCAGGTTTTCCTTACAGTTTTAAAATTCCAAATATTTCTTCTGGCATTGGGCCCAGTATGACATTTATTCCTCTTAGCTTATAGAGCCAACTGTTGTACTAAAGGGATATTAATGGAACTTTCCAACTTTAATATTCTCATAAATTTTTCAGATACTGTTAGCTAATTGAAGAATGTGGTAATCATTTCTACTTAGGAGGAGGAAATAAATCAGGGTACTGTTAAGTAGGGCTATTAAGAGATTTTATTTTTGTTTTGCTCTCATCTTTTCTCTTATAAAAACGCTGTCTATAGACAGATTTCTTTTAGACTGGGAATTTAAATTAACTGGTTGATTCCAGGCTAACTCCTGTCCCACCGTATATTCAAGGGAAAGCAGTTCAGTAGAAGGTCTAGAAAGTAAAACTTGGCTCTGGGTTTATTATTAAATATCTGTTATTTAATAGAGTTGTTAGTCTGTCTGGTTTTGCAGCAGAGTAATCTTCTGTTTGATTAGGTACCGAAGTGGCATCCGAGGGCACATGAAGGCTGTGGTGATGGACCTGCTGCGGCAGTACCTGCGGGTAGAGACACAGTTCCAGAACGGTAAGCCCTTTCTGAGGATTCTGTGTGTCAGAAAGTTTCCCCGTAGTACTGTGCAACAGCTGAGCCACTACATCCTGTCACTAATACTTGCTGCTAACAAATTCTTCTTCCTTTCACCACTGCCTTAAAAACAAAACCTTCATATCCCACTAGTGCCAAAGAATAACAACAAAACAGTTTGATGAGATTGTGAATCCTGTATGCTTCTGGGAAAGGGCTGAAATAATTTTTCTAGTAGAGATTAACATTCCTTGTTGACATCTTCTTGACCTTGTACAACGAGAGTTGGCTGAATCATGACCGGCTGAAATTGAGGGAGCCTATCTGAAGAGCTTGGCTCTCAGCAGCTAATCCATGGATTGAACCATAGGCATCTGAAAAGGTTCAGACTTTCCAGTCTTTTCACTCTATCATTTAGGGGGAATTTATCCCAGGCTTTCTCTGAAGAGCTTCACTAAATGATGTGTAAAGTGTCTAAATGTGAAACACCCTGGTTAAAATTTTAAAGTTATGTACTGCAGATACTGCTTTCTGCCACAAGATGGCAATGAAACACCACAGCATTGGAAATAAGACTTTTTTCCTTGGTCAGTTTTGCTCCCTTTTGTGTCTGTTGAAGGATGGCTTTGCCACTCATGGCCAGCAAAAATCCTCAAGAAAATTTTTCCAGCAATGTGTAAACCAACACATCTCTACAAAGTTAACTTTACCCCACTAATGCAAGCTTGATTGCTATCAGAGAAACCAATTAATATTATTTGTCATGTGGTATATTAAAAAAGGAAAAACACATGATCCTCCTATTTAGATATAAGGCAAAAAAGCATTTGACAAAATTTAACATGTATTCATGATACACTCTTGGCAAATGAAGAATGAAACTGACCTTTGATTATGTTAAGGTCTCCCACAGGAAGTCTACAGGGTACATTATACATTGTGGTAAAATATTGAAAGCATTTTTAAAATTAAGGGTAAGACAAGGACAGCAGCTAGCTCTGCTTCTCTTCAGCATCATATTGGATGTCCTAGCTAGGGCAGAAAGACAAGGAAAAAAAAAACAAAAGGTATCAGGATTGGAAATAAAGGAAATAAAGCTTCCTTTATGAGATATGATGTCCACCTGGAAAACCTTAAAGAATCTACATACTTATAATTAGAATCAATTAAAGTCAAACAGGTTGTTGGATACAAAATCAATATACAACATTCAAATTTATTTCTTTATAGTAGAACAATCAGAAAAACAGTTCAGAAAAAATATGCCACAAAATAGCAAGTCAGAATATGAAACACTCCATAAGTCTAACACAAAAAAAACCTCTCTGGAGAGAATTATAAACCACAAATAATAAAGAAGATCCCAATAAAAATCATGGCCTTGGATTGGAATATATGCTTGCAAAGTGTTTATCCTCCCTGACTTCATGTGTAGATTTATTGATCTTCTAATAAAAATTTTACTATAGTATTTTTGTTGAATCTGTCAAGCTAATTCTATAATTTACATGAAAGAGAAGTCTAACAATAACCAAGTTACTTTTAAAGAAATGCAAGGTGGAGAGATTTATCCAGTTAAATATTATGATTTAATATAAGGCCATATTAATGAAGAGATTGTGATGTTGGTATAAGGACAAATTAATAGGTCAATGAAACATAATCCAGAAAGAGATCCACACATACATGAAAACTTACTCTATGACAGAGCAGACATTGTACATTATGGGGGAAAGATAGACTTTTCAATAACTGACAATGGGAAAATGTAAAATAAAAAAATAAAATATTTTATTTGTAAAATAAAAAACTAAAACCAAAACACAAGAAATTGGATCCATATGTTATGCCACACATATAAAAATCAATTCCAGATGTACTAAATAGACAAAACTAAAACTTTAGGAGAATGTCCTTGTGATATATGGATAGAGAAGATTTTGTCAATCAAGACACAGCAAGTGCAAATTATATAGGAAAAGGGTTATTAGTTCAACCCTAATATAGAATTTTTCGTGAAAAGATACTGTGAAGAAACTAAAAATACAAGCCACAAAGTAGGAGATGATTTTTTTTTAAAGATTAATTTATTTATACATACAGAAACTAGGGTATAGGCCAGAGGTGCAGGAGGGTGAGAGGATTCACCAGAGACAGAGTAGGGAGCAGAACAGGCAGATTGACTGAAAACACTGCTGAGGAGAGCGGCGGGTGAGACAGGAGAGGTCTGCTGTGTCATGTGGGTATCTCCCTGGCTGGCCGGTGATTGAACTTGTGCTGCAGAGGCTGTGGATAGCTTCATAGTGCTGTGCTTAACCCCTTGCACCACCAGGGGGGCCCAGGAGATGATATTTAGAACTAACAAAGGATTAGTGTCTTGAATATTTAGAGAACTGCTATGAGTCAATAAGTGACTCAAAAGAAAACTAATAGAAAAGCAGGCAAAAGGTAATTCACAGAAGAGGAAGCACAAATGATCCATAAACTTATGAAAAGATGCTTAATCTAATCACTAATTAGAGAAACATGTTCCAAAACCACAACAAGATTGGCAAAAATTAAAAGAAAAAAAATATTTAATTGCTTCTCTAAGCAGAAATACACATTTGGTGTAACTACTTTGGAAAATGGTTTGTCAACATCTAATAGAGTTGAATTTTTTTATATTCCTCAACCTAGCAATTTCACTTTTGGGTAATATATTCTAGAGAAACAGTTAAACATGCTTGTTAGGAGGCATGTACAGAGCTATATGGGATAGCATTATTCAAAATAGCAAAAAAAAAAAAAAAAACCAGAAAGCAATTCAAATGTACACAAGTATAGTTGAATTTCAGCATACTCGTACAGCCATTTATTATATAACAGTGAACAAGGATGAATCAAGGTATACCTGTAAACAAAAGGCTGAATCTTAAAAACAGTGTTGAGGATGAGAAATAAGTAACTGAAGGATCCATTAATAATGATTCCATTTTATGAAGCTGAAAAACAAAAATGAAACTTTCATCCATTTGTGATAAATGTAAAGAAAAGCCAATGAATAATTAACATAAAATTCCAACTTAGTTTCTGAGGAGTACACAGTCCTTCAAAGATACTAAAAATGTTCTATTAAGGTAAATGGTAGTTACTTAGGTGTTTGTTTTTTGTATATTACATAGAAGTTTATTTTTTATTTTTTATTTATTTTTTATTTATGCACACCAGAGCTGGGGTACAGGCCAGACGTGCGGGGGTTGAAAGGATTCATCAGAGACAGAGCGGGAAACAGAACAGGCAGATTGACTGAAGTACACTGCTGAGGGGAGCAGCAGGCGAGTCAGGAGAGGTCTGCTGCGCCATGTGGGTTGCTCCCTGGCTGGCCGGGAATTGAACTCATGTTGCAGAGGCTATGGACAGCTTCATAGGTTGTGTCTTAACCCTTGAGCCAGCAGGGAGGCCCCTATTACATAGACGTTTTTAAAAAGAGTACACTCGGTATCATTGCTTTCTTTCTGCTTAATATCTGCCTTCCCCCTGGGTAAATTTTTTATTTTCCCTCATCCTAATAATTTATATACTAGGATATATTTCCATTGGCACTTCAAAGCTAAATCTTGGTAGGGAGAAGTAAGAATTTCCCTAAGACACCAATTTTTAAAAAAGCATCTGTTTTGTTGTACATGGGTTTTTAATGAAGGTGGCAGCTCTAGATTTCTCATATCCTGTAAGGATAATCATCTACTCTTTTTCAAATGTATTTTGGGAAAAAAAATACTATGTTAACCTCTAATATTTAAAACGGGTAAAAGCAGAGTTGCCCCGATTGAATGTACTTAGTTGTCAGTAATCCATGGTAATGCAGTTTGAATGCCACTGTTTGTAGGTTAATGTAGATTCTGGGCTGAGGTGATAATCCTTTAGTATTTTCATGATTTCATAAAATTCTGGCCCTTGAGACTATTCAAACACTAAATCTCTTTTTCTTGGGAATTTAATTCTAAGGCAAGCTTTTTCTAAAGAGCTGAATATTACTTAATATCCCATGGTAGATATCACTACAATATACCTGAAGCTTGTGCTTCATTGGAAAACATAGATTTCCTAGCCAGAACTAACTTACCCCTGGTGGCCTTGTGAAAGGCCAGTGAAAATATACATAACTTAGTCTCCCTACAGACCTTTCGACTTAATGCAAGGTTCTCCTTGATCTATGCCTTAGCCTGGATTTAGAATTCATAGCTGTTCATGGATTTACAGGGGGAGGTATTGATTCCAAAGGTAGCAACCATACTTATGTAGCCTTTGATGTTTGTTTGTTGGGGTTTAATTTTTGTTCTGAAACTCTTCCTTCTATTTAGGATGAAACATTTTCAGTGAATCAAACTTGAAACCAAAATCTCAAACTGGAATAGATTTTAGAAAGCATCAGGTTTAGTGGTATTAGCATCTCTTTCTAAGTAGTGGAACCGCCACTAGTCTAGAGAAGTCACTCCAGGAAGCTTCAGTGAAAAGAGTAGAGGTGCAGTGTTTGCAGTTATCCTCCAATCCATTAGTTCTAAGGCACACGTTCCCACAATCTCCACACACACACACACACACGCCCTTTTTTTTTTTTTTTTTTTTTATGAAATTAAGGCTGAGAGAGGAAAATATCCTGCCCAGGAGCACATAGTAAATTGGTAATAGAGCCCAACTTGAGCCCAGGTCATAGCAATTTTCCTGTATCCTAATCCAGAGTTCCTTTTACTAAACTACACTGCCAGTTCTGTACAAATCCATCCAAAATATTCATCAGCTGTTTCTTCTCACTGCTTATTAGGGGAATTACAGACACTAAGAAGCAAACCACATGTAAACTTGAACATCCGTGGCTTAGGATCAATTCTTTTTGCTTCTTGTAGGTCACTATGACAAATGTGTGTTTGCCCTTCGGGAGGAGAACAAGAGTGACATGAACACGGTACTGAACTACATCTTCTCTCATGCTCAAGTCACCAAGAAGAATCTTCTGGTCACAATGCTTATTGTGAGTACCATTTCTCAGATTGCATAGAATGGTCAATTATTTTAAAAAAGAATTTTTCCTGTCAGCTGTAGTCAGAGGAAAAGTTCCTGTCTTTATAATTGTGGGATGAGTGGGGCTTGGGTTGTAGATTAAGAGTTACTCACGTCTGACTTTGTCCTTGACCTGAAGGAACCTGCTCCAGTCAGTAAAGGATTGCTCTGGCCGTTATGCATATAATCATGCACAGGGACTCAGATATCATTGTTCTCCTTTGGGATACTCTCTGCTTCCCCATTCCTGCTGTCATTTATGACCATAGCAATCTGAGTCTCATGTAGCCAGTGTACTCTTTTTTATTATAATTTATGCTTTTTCCATGAATAGAAGCAGTGGCTCTTACGTCTAAACTTAAACACAAAAACAACCATTAAAAGTCTAGACCTTCCCACCCCCCCCAAAGACATTTAAATTTTCTTTGATCCCTTTTTTATTTAATTTATTAGGAAATCTAGCTCAGAACACTGTATTGGTAGTAGATCAATGCTTTTGGACTCTTAACCTGGTAATAATGAGCATTAGTAGCAAGTGGAAATGAGAGGTGATGTCATTAAATGTGAGTAGATCTAATGTACATTTGATCAGTGGAGTAAAATTTTGGGGACTTAAGGGTTTTTAAAGATGATTTGCAAGTCCTTCATGCCTAGATTTTTCTGGTTGAGTCTATGAATAAGAACAATAAGACTATCTTAGTCCCTCATGCCATGAACAATTACCTTGTGTTGCATGTTTATCTTTTTGGGTACTATAGTACCTTTTTGCTCCTAGAGTTTCCTTTCTTGTCCTTTTGTGGAATTGGCATTCTTGATACCTTAATCCCATCATTTCTTCTGGAAGAGAACAAAACCCCATGTAAATCTTCACTGCTATTTTTTTTTTTTCATAGTTCAGAATGAAGGGAAGCTATCTACCTTACATCTCTAGTTAACCACAGTGCCATTCCTTCATCTGCCTAGCTGTTTAACTCAAGGATATAACATTTTTAAAAATAGTGACTTTTAAAAATGTGTAATTACAGGGAGAGCTCATTACTTTTCTTACCCTGGAATGACTGGATGTTGGGAATCCACAAGATGCATTTGAAAAGAAAAAAAAAAATCATTACTAAATAATATTTCAACTTCCCCAAGTGACAAGATTCAGCAAAGTGATATAATTGGCTGAAAAAAATTAGCAACCTGCTGGGTTTTTTTTCTCAGTCAAAAGAGGAAAGAAATCTCTGACTAGATTTTTTTTTTTTTAATTTTAATACAAGGGTTGCTAATTCTCATTTGGATAAAGCCAATATTTTCTGGCAGAAAGGAGTAATGATGAGGGAGTAGAAGACTGTCAGTTTGGACCTAAAATGGGTTAGAATTTGCCTTTTTAGGAAGCTAATTATGGTGAGTTTTTCATTTTATTATGATTACCTTTTTAAGGACTTAACAGTTTTCTACACTAAAAATAGACCAAAGCCCAGAATCCTTGGAGCAGCAGAAGAGTAATGATCGTCCAAGACTGTCGCTGGGTTTCTTAAATTCTAATTTGTAAGATATAGGGGCTTGGCTCGCTCCTTTTGCGGAGTGATTGTAAGTAACGCTTGCCTTAAGAATCTCATTATTGGAACACGGAGCCATATTTCCTCTGAGAATTCTGGAGTAGCTTTGAGCCGGGGCTGTTCATTTCTCAAGTAATCACGCTGGTGTGATGGAGAGAGAAAATGGCAGCTGTTCGGAGCTCAGGCCTTCAATTTTCTTCAGAGTCCAGTCACTCAAGTGTGTAATTACACGGGGGGTGCTGCAGAGGCGTTGGGCCCTGTCAGAGAACTGGTTTGAGGCTTTGCTTTCTGCTTTTGCCAGTCAGGACAGGCAGAAGCCAATGGGACTCTGACTTGCTGCTGTTCTTTTTTCCCCACCTTGTCATCCTGATTACTTCTTACCTGCATGGATAATACCCAAACTTTCTTTCCAACAGGCTGAGCTCTTTGGAGAAAAGAGCTGTTTATTAGTGTTTGGTTTTGGATGAATAGGACAGATAGAAAGGGAAGAGGAAGAAGGATGAAGATGTGAATGAGGAGGATGAATTTATTTTTTTATTTTGTGACCACATTTTTCTTTAAAAAACAAAGTTGATATACATAGTAGGACCTGTAATCTTTCTTACCATTTAAGTTTCTTTTGTAATATCACTTCATCTTAGGGATTTGGAAATTAGCAGCTTAATTGATGTGACTGAGCTGAGGCAGCTAACAGTGACTTAATGAGAAGGGATGAAAGCTCAATAAAAAGATTTCTGATCTGATGTCACTGAGTGCCAGGCATGGCTTCTCCTTCTTGGCAATGGTCAGGCACACACACACCCCCGCCCCCCTTCTCCCTTCACCCTGAATCTGTGCTATTGGTGGTAGCTGGAAAAAGGACCATTTTAATTGTTTGGATTACTCTTTCTGCAGGCCTTATTGTCTCTTACATGGTAGCATTTTATTCCCCTACCTTGTGTTCTCTGTTGGCTTTCCTTTCTTTGCTTAACTTTGCCTTCCTGATAGATTGTTATGTGCCCAGCATTCCAATTTCTGCTTTCTAGAAGTAGGAGTGTTGATGGTGTGCTTTGCTGAGCTAGATGGTGATTTCTGGGGTTTTTGAACCTAGAGGGAGGGATCAAGAAAAATCAGACATCTGTGAATTAAAGTTACAGAATGTGGGCTGTTCCTGTGAAGAAATGCCTTCATCCCCTCCAGGGATGCCTAGTGGTAACTTGCCTCAGGGATGCTTGAGCAAATTTCTTCTAATCTTTCACCCTATCTGGAAAGCAAAGCAAACTATTAAATAAAATGCTAAGGTCCTGTCAAGTTTTCTCCATTTGGAGGAACATTGTGCCACCATTAAAAACCGTAAGTTTATTTTTTGAAAACGCTTCTTCTTTTAATTTTGTAGGATAAAACTTAGAATTCAGAACATTATGTTTACTTAGAGATATTTTAGGAACTATGGCCAAGCAAGGAATTTGATACCAATAAAAAAAAAAAAATCCTCATAGCTGTCTAGGTGGCAAAGAACATACCCAAGGCCACCCTAATGCTGAGCAGTCTTCTCACTAGTAATACCTGGCACTGCCCTTGTGAACATGATGATGTCACCGGGCTTCCTTGTGAGCAGTGCTATGCCTGTGAGCCTGGTTTGATTTAAACAGAGAGTATTTAGAGTGCTGATCAATTTCTTGCCTCTTCCTCTTAACGGTACTGTAAATAAATTTGTCCAACATTTAAGAAGAAAAATCTTTCACAGTGGGGCCTCCCCGGTGGCTCAGCGGTTGAGCGCTGGGTTGCGAAGCTGCCCGAAGCCTCCACGGTGCCAGTTCAATCCCCGGCTGCTTCCCGGCCACCGGAGGAGGGTCCCACATGGCGCGCAGACCTCTCCTGCCGCCCGCTGCTCCCCGCAGCAGTGTACTTCAGTCCCTCTGCCTGCTCTGCTCCCCGCTCTGGTGAATTCTCTCACCCTCCCGCGCTTCTGACTGTACCCAGTGCTTGTATAAATAAATAAATAAATAAATCTTTAAAAAAAAAAATCTTTCCCAGTGAACCCAAGTTTACCGAATAAAGGTAGTGCTAAGAATTTCTTGTTAAACCTGTTTTGTAACGTCCTTGGAATGTCAGGAAGTCCAGTTTTGGCTAGAAGCAGCTACCATCCGTTGCTGATATTGAGACTACTGCCTCACTGAGCTGAACAATAGTTAATGTCCTGAGAGCATTATGTATTCTTTTCATTTTGAATTGCCTACAAATCTTAGGATGCTAAGGTCAAGTTGTACTATACTGAGTTCTTCTGGCACAACTGTGTCATTTCGGCTATAGTTTAGTCATTTAAGCATGTTTGATATATTTCTGCAAATTTGAAATATCCCCTGTGGTTAGCAACCATCTGGGTTAAGAAAAATCAAGCAATAACTGAGGTACCAATCTTAACCATTGCTAATAATTTTCACTTTGGGCTGCATATTGATGCAAATGACCTATATCCCCAAAATTAGCAGATGGGCTTTTAAAATGAATCTCTTTATGTTGAGGAGACACAACTTCTTAACCAGTCATGTAATATTATTGTTATAAAATTGTTACCAGTGTTCGGTAGTATGTTAAGCTGTCCAGTTGACCAGAGGAAGCCCGCCTCTAGTTCAGGGCCATGGCTTCCTTTTTTTTTTTTTTTTTTAATTTTTTTTTAGTTAGTTAGTTTATTTATTTATTTATTTTACATCATTATTCATTTTTAAACAATATTTGCTTTACCCCACCCCTTCAGGTGTAGTCCCCAAGAGTTTCCTTCCCCAGTGCACCCGTGCACCATCACCTCAGTCCCCTGTGCTCCTCCCTCCTTCCCTCCCTCTGATCCCTCTCCCTCCTCCTCCCCTGCAGTGTGTCTCGGATTTACAATTGTCCGTTTTTGCTTTGTTGTGTTTTGTACTGTGATTATTTTTTTACACCGATGTCTTATTTGGTTCCCCTATATTCCTGCTATAAGTGAAACCATCCAGTATTTTTCTTTATCCTTCTGGCTTAACTTCACTGAGCATAATGCCTTCTAGTTCCATCCATGTTGCTGTGAAGGGCATGAGTTTATCTTTTTTGATTGCTGAATAATAGTCCATTGTGTATATATGCCACATCTTCTTGATCCAGTCATCTATTTTTGGGCATTTGGATTGTTTCCAAGTTTTACCTATTGTAAATAGTGCTGCAATAAATATAGATGTACAGGTGTTCGTTTGAATCAATGTTTTTGTGTCCTTTGGGTAGATCCCTAGCAGTGGAATTGCTGGGTCGTATGGTAGCTCCATTTTTAGTAGACTGAGGAACCTCCAGACAGCTTTCCATAGTGGTTGGACCAGTTTGCACTCCCACCAGCAATGTAGGAGAGTTCCTTTTTCACCACATCATCGCCAACATTTGTTGTTGCTTGTTTTTTTGATATGTGCCATTCTTACTGGTGTAAGGTGGTATCTCAATGTGGTTTTAATTTGCATTTCCCTGATTATAAAGGATGTTGAACATTTTTTCATATGCCTGTTGGCATGGCTTCCTTTTGGATGTTTGCATCTCAGGATACCTGGTTTTGATGAACAGAATGGTCTTCCATCTCTTTCAGGACCTGAGCATGGTGTCTAGGTCAAGCACAGGAGACAATTGAAAAGGTTGCTCTACACTTAATTTTCCACTGCCAATCTTTTCCTTGGTACTAATGGTGGCAATGGAGAAAATAACATTTGAATAGAAAATTTCCAAGGCAGGATAAACTAATGGAAGTGTAGTGGTTTATTCATACTGTATTTCACATCCCAGAATAGTCTGGTTTCTGTACTTTATCACAAGGAGCCCAGGAAGATTGTCAGTTGGTGATTGTGACCGAATAATTACTTCCCTATTATTTGCTCTAATCTCCATAGTTCACTTTTTTTTTAAACAGATAGGGTTCCTACTTCCCTACCCTCATTTTCACTCCCTTTCAATCTTATAGTGGAAAGATAAAATGAGAAAGTGGTTTTAAAAAAAGTGATTTTGTCTGTTTTGTTATGTTTTGTTTTTTTTAAGTCATACTATCATCTATAATTAAGCAGGAGGATAATTCCATTTTTCTTTATTCTTAAAAAGTAAATCTGATTTCCTTTAAAGGGAGAACATTGCCTGTCAAATCTAATACAGATGGGGTAGGTGGCTAGTATTCTTACGTTGTCATGTTGGTTTCTGTTATTAATGTTGAAACTGTGGGTATTTGCACAGTCGCTGAGTTGTATTACCCAGGATATGTCCCAGATTTTAGATCTTTTGTGAGTCATTCTCATGGTTGAAGTACCTCAGGATTATGTTTTCTCTATTAGGAACATTAGGAGAGTGGAATGTAAGTAGGAAAAACTTAATCTTGATTTCCCTACCCACTGTAACCTGTCTCTTTTACCTATTCTGTCTCTTTATGGTCTTGTCTTTGGTGATTTTATATATTCCCTTGAAATTCTGTTTTGCTTATTAATTCTCAACAACAAGAAACTTACTTGCATTTACTCTCTTCTTTGCTGTTATGCCCTTGAATAGGTGTAACAGGTCATGCCCAACCAAACTCTGGGTTTATATTCACTTCATTAACAACTTCTCTTTTTCCCACTCAGATGAGTAATTTCTTTCTACATTTAATAGGTGAAAGCAATACTTGTATTTCCTTAATTATAAATCCCATCTTGTGTTTTATGACTGGACAATTGAAATAGACCTCTGGTTGGTGGATTGGAAAAAACAGAAAATGCTTCTTAAGATGTTCGAGAAACATGCTGAATATTCCAAAACTGTTTACCTTTGTGACATGGAAGGTGGTAGAGTTGTGGAAAAAGTGTTTTGGGAAATGCTTATGTGGGCCAAATGCTTTTATTTATACAGTCCTTTATCACAGGATAAAGGACTGAAAAGAGTATCCCTGAAATGGCAGGTTAAGTGTGAAATGGAGATTCTTCAAGAAAGGACTGATAATCAACAGTAGAGAGAAGATTAAAAAAGCAGCATCAGGAAGTCTTTTGGGATCTGGTCATCTTTCATGTCCTATTGATAGTACAGGGAGATTAAAATTTCACTAATATATAAAGGCAATTATTTCAAACTCCAAGTAGAGGGAACTACAACTAAATGATTATGTTTTATATGGTGTGGTATTAAGAATTACTATAAATAGCTGCAAATTGCAAAGGACAAACATGCATAAAAACTGCATCTGCAGTGTTTTTAGCTTATATAAAAATTACTTTGCTGATGGATGAATTTAAGGAATAAACTGATATTCCAGTCCAAAAAAAATATTTTTCTCAAGCTATAATTGAGGTTTTTGCCTTAACAATTTTTAATTTTTAGGAAAGGATTGATCCAATCCTGAATAAACCATAGATTGTATAGCAGCAGTTTGCTTTTCCCCCTCTAATCCAGCTAAGGATTCACCATGTTTAGATGTCCTGGGATGACATTTGGTACAAGGGGATAAATGATTTTTGGCCTTTGTCAGAATATGTGATGGTGTTTTTATTTACTGTCTATTTATAAATAAATAATTTGCTTTTGTGTTTCTGTTTTGCATCCTCCTGAAATGCCAAACATTTGCTGAATGAAAACCATAAAGAGAGGTTCCTTTTTGCCTTATTCTGCCTTTTTCCAAAAGTGGAAGACAGAAGTCTTTAGTACATGTTTATTTAATATCTCTTAAATCTTTGAGACATCATCTGTAATTCTTACTCAGAGTCCCCCTTAACCCCTTTTAATGGCCTCCGAGATGATTTCTTCTATGTTAAAAGTGTAGTGCTGATTTATAAAAATACATTAGGCATTTTGAATCTGAATGACTTGAGTGATTTGGACTTCTTCCTAGCAGCAGCTTCCTCTGGGATCTTCTTTCCCACATTGTTTACAATAAAAGTAACAAGAGGTATGCATTTTCTAGCCAATCTACCTATGTTTACTTTGTTTTTATTCCCTTTTCCAATTGCAAAGTCCTGTCCACCTCATTCTTTTTAAGTGGGTGTGTACGTTCTTCTTTTACATGAACTATTAGGATCAGTTGTGTGGTCGGGACCCTACCCTCACTGATGAGCTGCTGAATATCCTCACAGAACTAACCCAACTCAGTAAGACAACCAATGCGAAAGTGGCACTTCGAGCACGCCAGGTAAGGACATGAGCTTGTGGTTTTGAGGGAGGGATGATTTTTATAAGCTGGCAGTCCCACCTGCAATGAACTTTTTACCCAGTCACCTTATGAAGATTATATAATTTTCTTTGTATGTCTTACTGAATTCAGAACAACTGTTTTTATTTGATATATATTTTTTAAAGAGAAAGGGAAAGATTAACGTTGAGTCTTTTAAAAATAGCCCTTTTCCCATTATTAAATACTGGTATCATTCTCTACACTTCCTAGTAGTCTGTGATAGTAAACCAGGGTCATGTGGAGGAAAGGAAACTGAGGGGAGGCAACACACTCAATATTTCTTACTTCTTGAAGAAAACTTAGAAGCAGACGAAAACTTCTTAAGTGTACAGCAAAAAATCAAGTGTGGAAAGCAGAAAGATAATGAAATGAATCTTAGGCGCTAGCAATCAGAACAACCCCAGAGAAGTCCAGTTAGTTTCACCCTATAGTCTTCATTTCCATTCCAAAAGGTTTCAGCAGGGAAGCTGCGAGTTGGCTCTCCCTTTGTGTTGCAGTGCTTGGGCATTGACAAGGAAGCAGCATTTGAAGCTGTTCAGTGACCTTCTGCTTTCTCTACAATTGTATCCATGTCACTGAACTACTCAAAGTTATTGAACCTCTCAGTGACCTGCTGAGGGTATTCAGGTCCTACCGTGCTCCTGGTTGTTTGTGACACTGCTCTCACTCTCTCTGCCCTCACATGCATTGGTGGTACACCCTGACGCCTTCTCCTTGGTACTGAGTATCTGGGGCTGTCAGAACAGCTTTTCCTAGTCTGTCTTTCTGCTTCAGAGTTGCAAAAGGCTGGCTCTGCTGCATCTACCTTCTCCACAGCTGCTCCCTGCCAGACCTGATTCCCAATTAACAGCTAGTCATGCAGTCCCCAGGACTAGCAGCTTTGCAATGGTAAATCACATGCACTGATGGAACTTGATTGAAGCTGTTTTCTCTCCCTTCCCCCCCGCCCCCAATGGGAAATTGCTCACAACACAAATCATGGTGAGAGTCAACTGAAATGCAGTATTTGGTGGCATTGGCCTTATGTTACAGGACCTAGAAGTTGTTTTACTTGGTCTCTGTTTTATCTTTGATGCCTGCACTTACAGATTTATATTTATTGCTTTTGTATCAGAACTGCCTAATAGGAGCCTAGAATAATCACTCCCTCAGGAACTTATGCCTCTTATTTTGCTCTCACTATAGGTTCTTATTGCCTCCCATTTGCCATCATATGAGCTTCGCCATAACCAAGTAGAGTCTATCTTCCTATCAGCTATTGACATGTACGGACATCAGTTTTGCATTGAAAACCTGCAGGTATACATCTAATCCTTTTTATCCTCTCTGAACTCTTGTCCCCTTTATTCCCAAGCATAATGTAAGTAATTGATCAGTTAATTTGGATTATAAAGTTTCATACCCTGACTTTCTAAAATGATTTATACATATGAATCTGTTTTATAAAAATATCGTTAGAATTGTGGTTTAACTTTAAAAATTAAATTGGTATATCTTTATAGATGTGTCCTGTTGAAGCCTTTACCTCTTGTGTTTTTATCTAGAAAATATTCTAGGCCAGAATTAGGTGATAGCACTGATTTCTAATATTTGAATCAGATGGATAATTAGGTAGTTGTTGGTCTTTTAGAGACTTAATCTCATCTAATTTCAATGCTTACTATTAAGCTTTAATAAGGAGCCAATTTTGTAATAGTATTGGCTGATTTTACTTTGAATTGAAAGGACCTTGACTATTATTTCTTAAACAACATCATTTCCTCAGGAATGATTTCCTATTTTTCTACCTGGACATCGTTTTATCTTGCCAAGAGTATCATTAGCATTTCTGTCAGATTTCTTTCTGGGGAACCAGAAGGGGGAAGAAAGATGTTTTTGTTTACATATAGCATGGTTTAAATATAGCATTTCAACTGGGGTTCTGGGGTTCAAATCTAGGATCTACTACAATATAATGAAGTAATACGACAATACTTAGGAAATAGAGTACAAATGTATGACAGGAAGGATAAAAATAATTGTCATGAACACTTATATTACATAGAATTAATGCTGAAGCCCAGAAAGGAGAAGTTCACATTTACAGACAAAATTATTGGGTCTCACTAAAGGTTTCAAAATGACAAATACTGTCCATTGAAATTGTTCTCATTTGGATGTAATGATATAAGCTTGTCTTTTTACCTTCTAGAAACTCATCTTGTCCGAAACATCTATTTTTGATGTTCTACCAAACTTCTTCTATCACAGCAACCAGGTAGTGAGGATGGCAGCTCTGGAGGTGAGTTTTTATAGTAGCACTGCCTGATCTTTACTAGCTGATTTCCTCTGTCCTTTGGCTACCATGTCAGTCCTTTTTCTTTGACCTTAAAGTTGGTTCTTTAGAGTCTTCTTTTCCACTGAAACCATAAAAACTGAACTGTGATCTTACTTTACTCAGGTATTTCAGCTGAACTGATCACATCTGGACTCCAATCATAGGAAAATCGAAACCAGAATTTTTCAATAGTCTCTACTTTCCAGCTATTTTAATTCTCCCATTTCATAATGAATTAGGATTCCCTGTAACACAATTCCTTGAAAACATATGACTGATCAGAACATGTGTAACCTTAACATCTTGTGATTTGGGCCAAATAAAATGGGTTTTAATTATATTCTGAATTGTCAAGTAGCTCTTATGAAATATTTTGTCATGGGAAGGAAAGTAATACCATTTAATGAACTGTGTATTAGGTTCTTTATTTTTCTCATTTAATCCTACAATTACTTTATGAAGTGGGACGAAACTGAGACTCCAAGAGGTTAAATGACTTGTCCAAAATCACATAGATAATAAGTGGAAGAGTTTGCCTTTGAACTCAGGTCAATCTGACTCAAAGAATTTTCTGTTTCCACTACAGCACACTACCTCATTAAGCACAAAAATTGCAGGCCCTGAGTACTGCTGTAAAATTGCCAACTAGATGTTTTTTGAAGATGAGGAAAAGGAGTATTTTAGATGGTTTTATATAATATGGCATCACTACAGTCTGACGCCAGTTCTTTTGGATTACTTTTTATTTGTATTCTCTAGCTAGAGTGTCTCTTACTCAGTAAATACCAAAATTTTAGAGTACCTAAGTAGTTTATTTATGGTGCTTTCGTATCATTTAATGAAAGTCTTCTTATTTACCTTACATGCTGATAGAATCCCATGTAGCATTTTATGTGCAAAGCAAATGGGCTGTGAAGTGTGAGAGTTTGGACTGACATGTAGTCTCCTTCTTTTAACTCTTCTTTAACTCTTGAGTCATGTTAGTATGTTTAAGATACTATATGTTAAAATATGCCTTACTGTTTTTGCCTAGGGCTTGAGGGATATAAGTATTCTATAAAAAAAATCAAAATTGGATTTGGTCAGTGGGAAAACAGAATAAAGATACATGATAGTTAAAGAATTGAGCTGTATTACAATTGCTCTGTCTTCTATCTTCATTCATCAAGTGACCTAGAATCAGCAAGTCTCATTTCTCCCACTGCTTGCCTTCATCTTCTGTTGAAATGATCATACTTAATGAAGTAATAGTCATGGTTCTGTATGCTCTCTTTTGCTAAAGATCTTCTCTAAAATTTAGATTGGCATGAACGGTTTAAGGTTCTCCTAGATGTATCTAGCAGAGGCTAATTTTGTTTTTGCTTCTAGTCATGGTATAATTTTAAGACTCAAGCTTTTTTATTTAAAGCAATGTATGTATATACAGAGACTTGGGACTTTTGTCACCATAAACCACCTTCTTCTGTATCAGATACAGGTTCCCCCACTACCCAAAAGTAGAAAGTTTCTGTTGGGTATGATTTGGTAGGTTGTTTTTTGGGGTCTGGGAATGCTCTAAATTTTTTCCTACTGAATTAATGGTAATTGCATCCTCCCCCCCAAAAAAATATATATATAATAACCTACCAAATCATACCAAATTGGAATGCTCTACTTCCTGATAGTGGTGGTGGGGGTAACCTGTACTTCTTTTTAAGACTCTCTTTTTCCCGGGCTAGCCATCTCTTCGTTTTTGTGAGTGTATTTATTGAGGTTTACTTTTTAACCAGGTGTATGTTCGAAGGGCTTATATTGCCTATGAACTTAACAGCGTACAACACCGCCAGCTTAAGGACAATACCTGCGTAGTGGAATTCCAGTTCATGCTGCCCACATCTCATCCAAATAGGTGAGTTTGAGCTAGTGTGGGTACCTAAACCAGCCAGAACTCTAGTAGGAGATTTAAGGAAGATAAATTGTATGACAGTTCTGTACCTTTTTTAGCTTGAAATTTAGATCAGAAAATTGACAAAGTAAAAATTAACAAGCAACTGTAAACCAGAGACACACTAGGGGTGGTGGTGGGGGGGGGTCCGGGGCGCGGGGAGAGAAAGGATTAGGGTCAAAATAAGGGGGGGGGGTGCAGTTGTATGGGGAATATAACCAAAATGAAAATGCATACATTGTGCAAAAATGAAAAGTGATGTAAGAATTATATAAAATAAAACATAAAAAAAAAAAGAAAATCTACCAGTTTAAACCATGAGCGAAGAACCTCTTGATGTACCCCTTAATTTTTTGATCTCTGAACTGGAAAGATAAAGTATGGTCTAATTAAGATAAAAGTATAGGACTAGTCCATTTATTTTTGCTTTTTTTCACTGGGGAAACATACTTCTTTTTTTTAGTTGCACTTTAAGTCAATAGTTGAAATATAAAAATATCTTGGGTAGAATGATTTTCTGTGTGTTTGCTGTGGGTTAAGGTTATACCTGAGCCAATTTCTTTATCTCCCTTAATACAGACATCAGAATTTAACAGGTGAAACTCAGTTTTTAAAACTAACCCTGCAACAGCAAACTTAAATTCAAGTAAATTATTTAATGAAGGCATGTCGATCCCTTATTCTTCCCTTCATAAGACCTTTAAAATATAAACTGTACATAAAAAATTTCTTTCAATATAGCTTTAGTTTTAACATGAAAACACTATCTTGTATACTCATTTTTAAAAGTATTCTGAGGCAATGAAAACCAAGGAGTTTCACCTATACATATGTTCATCCCCCCCTACATTTTCATTCTTTTTAGTAATACCACAGGAAATATAAATACCACAGCAATCTGAAGCTGCCCCCCTCCATTTCTTCTTTATGGCCTTTGGTTCTTCACTTTGTATTACAAAGTACTGTGTCTTTGGGGATCCTTAGCTATAGACACCAGAAATGGTTTTGTTCTGAATTGCCACTTCACCCAAAGCAATAGAAACCCTTGCTAGAGACAAAGAGGTCTGTGCTGAGACTTTTGGCCACTGGATGCCACTGTTGTTCCAGCAGAGGTCAGCAGATGCGCAGAGACATCTTCAGAAATTGTACCTCTCTTCTTTGTCTCAGAAGATCTTTTCACTTCTCTACCTCAAAAATTCCTTATGGCTGGCAGAGAAAAGCATATATCCTTGATTTAGCAAGCATCTCTCAGTACATTTTTGCCTCCATGGATTTCAGAATCTCATTTTCCAGAAACGAATGGTTGTCCTTCAGCGAGCGCTGAAGTACTCATAGCACACATGGGCTCAGCACTCGGTCTTCTTTCTTTTCCTGCATTCCTTGAATAATTGTACAGAACTACATGCTATACGTAATGCTCTTTGTAATTCTCAGGACATTCTCCTTTTCTTCCTGCTTTCTGCTACCTCTTCCCTTTGGGCAGTGATTTGTAGTCAGGCTGCAGAGCTGCTTCTGATTTCCTTTACTCCTCATCGCTCCCCTTGTCTTTCTGAATTGCTCTCCCTGTCCTACTTTTTTATTTGAGGACATGTGTCCAGTTTGTAAGGGAGAGTCGACTGGAAAATGAGAGAAATACTTCTTAACTCTTTGTTAGAAATCTTGTACACCTTTCTATCTTAATGGTATGGATGTTGGTTATTCCTGATGTGATTTCAAAACTGTATAGTTGTCCCTCCAAACGTCTGGGGTATATATACCTCTATGGATAAAATCCATACTTAGACAAAATTGTAGTGCTGTAGTTTCTTAAAAGTCTTCTTGGGTTGTCTGTAATATAAAATTATAAGCTGCTAGATTACTACTATCATAATTATTACTGGCATACATGTAAAGGTGAAGATAAGAAAGGAGAAAAGCTAAAATAATCTTTGAAAATCAGAGAAATGTTAAGTGTTTTAATGCTTTTTAAGATCTGAGTTCTTTTGTTAGTTTAGGAATATAAAATGTATTCTCTGATTTAATCACAGAATGATATATTCAACTTTAGACATTATTCAGCTATTATAAATTTCCTACTTGAATTTAGTTTTATAAAAAATTATATTTTCTTACAAATGTTTCTGTAAGAAAATAAGGAATTTGGACCATGTTCTGATGCCAGCTATTGTACTACTATTCAATTCTTACAATAACCATCTGGTCAGATCAGACACTGAAAGTTAAGGGCTCAGCTTTCCACAAAACTGTATTATTTCAGATGGGGCCTTCAGTGGGGTTCCCACCCACACTACTGATTAGCTCACTAAAAATTTTGGGGTTTCCAGGCCCCCTCTGGTTTATTTATTAGAACAGTTTACAGAACTTAGGAGATCACTGTTTCTGATTACAGTTTTATGATAAAGCTTACCTGTCAGAACCAACCAAATGAAGAGACACATAGAGTGAGGTGTATATACCGTCCTAGGATATCAGTGTGTTTGCCAACAGAGACCTTCACTGAACTTCATGTCCAGTGTTTTTATTAGGGTTTTATCATGAAGGCACAAGTGATTGAATCATAGACTATATCATGAATTCATTCTCTAGATTCTTCCTTCTCTCAGGAGGTCAGTTTAGCCTGAAGTCCTCAACCCTCTTGTCACATGGTTTCTTTTTCTGGTGAGCAGCCCCTGTCTTGAGATCTCTCCACTGCTGGCATTTAAACTCAAGGGCTAATGAATAATGACGTTCCTACTACTTGAGAAATTCTAAGGATAGGGTCTCCCTCTCCTGGGAACCAGGGCCAAAGGGCGGTCATACTCTTTGTGATACGGTAACTCTGTTCCACTGAAGAATAGAATTCTAGTGTGTCTTCCTTTTAGCTAGTTTTGAGCCAATTTCTAACTTTTTTCCTAACCCTAGTAATTTTATGCTTTTCTACTCTGAGGAAACAGGCAATGAGCATATTGTTTCTTATTCTACAGAAATACAGGGGACTTGTTTACCAGTGCCCATTCCACTCTTTGACTTGCAACACTCAAGGACATAGTTTTTTCCAACTATGCCCATTAATCTATGTCTTGATTAATGATTCTCAGAATTATCTGGGGAATATTTTGAAAAATACATATTGGGACCCTGACTCCCAAGATTCTGATTCATTCTGGACAAAATCCAGGGGACCACTTTCTGAAAAAGCTCCTCTGATAATTTTTTTTTTTTTTTTTAAAGATTTATTTATTTATTTATACAAGTACTGGGTACAGTCAGAAGTGCGGGAGGGTGAGAGAATTCACCAGAGCCAGAGCGGGGAGCAGAGCAGGCAGAAGGACCGAAGGACACTGCTGAGGGGAGCAGCGGGCGGCAGGAGAGGTCTGCGCGCCATGTGGGACCCTCCTGCGGTGGCCGGGGAGCAGCCGGGGATCGAACTGGCACTGCAGAGGCTGCGGGCAGCTTCGCAACCCAGCGCTCAACCGCTGCGCCACCGGGGAGGCCCATGATAATTTTTTTTTTTTTTTTCCCTCTGATAATTCTGATCAACACGACTGAGAATCACTACAACTAGACCAGTGTTGTAATTTTACAATATTGTAAAATTACACTGTGATTTTAAATATCCTGTTGGCCACATCTAAAAGGCCACATTTATGAAACATAAAATTAATTTTAACAACATTTTATTTACCCCTTGTATCAAAATAACATTCAATAAGTAATGAAAATAAAATATTGAGTTTTTCCCACTCTTCATATTAAATCTTTGAAATTTAGGATGTATTTTACACTATAGCATGTCTCAATGCTATATTAAGTAGCGCTTGAAATAATCATATTTCAAGGGCTACTTAATATAGGCAATTCAATTCTAGGTCAAAAATTAATTAGGACAATCACAGAGTCCTTTTTGTATTGTGTTAATAGTAGTGCCCCTAGGTGGCATTTAAAAAACAACAACTCTATGTTGCTTACTTTTAGTAGTTATATAGGAAGTATCTGGTACTATACCTGGTACTATATCATGCTACAGTATTTTATCCATGCCTTAAAAATTATTCAGTGAAGATAGAGATCAGGCATATGTATGTAGATATTTTACTTATCAATGCAAAACAGAATATGTTATTTTCCCCCAATGGGGTTAACAAACCAAAAATTCTTGGGGGAGAAAACAAGTGCATTCTTTTCATCAGTTTTCTATTTTCTTTCCTGGTGCTTGGTCTGTACATTCCTAGTCAGGCATCATTTGACGTAGACTAAATTTGTCTAAGCCCTTAGATGTAAATATCTTTCTAAGCTGTGATATCAAAGCGAGACTCTTGCTGTATATAGGCTTACCTGGTAGAATTCCATTTTTGCAATTGGTTGTTAATTCGTGATGTAGCCTTCATGGGTTGGGACAAAACATGGCTCCATCTGCAGACTGATAATAGCAGAGTGGTTTTTTTCCAGGGAAATGCCTTAGATGCCATTTGGATTAAGACCCATGTCCCAGTAGGACAAGTTTTGATTTTTAGAGAAGTAGACAAAACACAAATAATTTCCAGCAAATAAATGGGGCAGTCTCTCAGAGGGAAGACACCCCTTTTGTAGCACACTGGGGCAGTTAGTATGTGCTCAACATATCTGGTAACTTTTTATTTTTATTTAAATTCCTCAGAGGACTTTGTATTTATTGGCTTTTTTTATACTTTTAATTTTGTTATGGAAAGAACACTTAACATGAGATTTGCCCCTTTAAGTTTTTAATTGTACAATATATTATTGTTGACTTTAAGCGCTGTGTTATACAACAGATCTTGAGTGCTTCTAGTTTACTTGACTGAAACTTTTACTTGGCATTTAATTACTGTGTACTTCAGTATAATTTGACTGTTTTTTTTTCCCTCAAATTTTTGGTAAAGAAGCAGATGACTAAACAGTTCATTTCTAGGTCTTATGGCTTCCTGCATCATCCTTCTTGCTAGGTAGGTTTCAGTCAAGGCATC